AGATTGAATATAAGTCCGGCTTCAGCCCTTCACAGAAGGAGATAGTAATTCTTAAGAGATATTATATTTAACTTATAATAATTAATATATATATAGATTCCCCTATCCTTCTTAGATATATATAGTAGAGATATACTTATAAAGGATTTTAAAGGCCTTATTTTTTTTATAAATATAATTTAGATATATTTATAAATTATAGCTAATTCCTATAGAGAGTAATAATAGAGAGGATTAAATAAAGGCTCTTTATTTTATTTAGCTTTAGATTAATATTTAACTCTATTTTTTATAGTAAAAATAAAGCTTACTTATTTCTTTTTTTAAAAAAAAATATTTTTATAAGATTTTAATACTATATTAGTAGGTCCTTACTTATAATTATCTTTTTTATATTTATTATACTAATTTAGAATACTTACCTAGAGTCTTTATAGATATTATCTAGAAAATCTTTAATAAATATACTCTTTATTTTTAAAGAATCTTTATAAAAGATATACGTTAGTTTAATAAATTTTAGAATTATAAATTTTTAGCTATAGTATTCTAAGGGTTATTTATATAATATCTAAAAATATTATTATAAGTACCTTAAACTTCTAGGTATTTTATAAGTCTTAAAATTAAAAAAATTATTTTTATAATTTCTTTATTATATAGCTATCCTTTATTTATAGTTTATATAAAGATTTAATAAAATAGAAGATTTTATTCTACTTATTTTATAAGTAAAGAGAGGACTATATTAACTTTACTTTTATTATTTATAAATATTTCATAATCTATAATAACTCTACTAGGTAGGGTTATTTTTATAAAAGTATTCTTTTTATAATAAGTTATTTCTTATTAATAAGGGTTAGTTATATAGATATAGCTATTATATTTATAGATACTTTATATTAAGTCTATTCCTTACTATTATTCTTTATAAGATTTAGATAGTTAGGCTTATAATAGTCTAGTTTTTTATAATAAAAATATTTTTATAGGAGATTACTATTATTTTATTATAATAAGTACCTAACTTAGTATTATTTTATTTTTTATAGTTAAAATAACTCCTATTATAATTTTTATAAAATAAAAATAATCTAGAATATTTCTTATTCTTTTAACTATTATTATCTCTCTTTACTAGGGGTGGTTTTATAGTTAGTATTAATATAGTTATAATTTTATAATTAATAAGGTAAGATTTATAAGAATAATTAAAAATTTTAATTATTTATAAACTTTTTACTTTATATTTTAGAGAAATAATGTAAAGAATATTTATAAAAAAAGAATATTAATATTTTAATTTTCTTTATTTAATTCTAACTACTATTTATTCTTATTTTTTATATTTAGTCTATAAGGTCTCTTAACTATTTAAAAAGAAAATTATAAAGGTTATCTTAAATTAAGATATATATTATAAATAACTCTATATTTTATAGTCCTTAGAGTATTAAATCAAGGTATAAGACTATAAGATATAATAGATTATTTTTTATATAGCTATTAGTATTCCTAAAGTCTTATATCTTTTATATAAATTTATAATAATTTATATATATAGTAATATAATATTACTTATTTTTTATAAATAGTTATAAAAGTAGAGATCTCTTTAGAAGTAAAGTATAAAATAATAACTTTATATAAGTATACTTATAAAAGGGTATTATAATAGATTTTAAAGATTATATTCTTTCTATTACTTAACTTCTTAGAATTAATATATTTCTCTAATTTACTATCTAGGCTAATAGGGTCTATAGAGGATTATTCTAGTCTAGTAATAAGCTAAGTAATATAAAGAGTAAACTATTAGTTTTCTTATTATAATTTTTATGTTACCTGCACCTCTGGGTCACGTGCAAAAGGTAACTTACACCATTAGGCCACTATATCAAACCCTTTAAAGGAGCCACTTTTTAAAGGTTTGATATGCCCAGAACCTATGTTCAATGTTCATCACTAGTATCGCTATATAAGGTTCCTAACATTTTAATTATACTATTATCTTCCTTTGTAGTAATAAGCTTATTTACTTAAGTAGTAAGATTATTATAATTCCTAGTTATCTTATTAAGTTATTTTTAAAGGTAGATAATCTATTATTATTTCTTCTACTCTAATTTTATTAGTTTATTAGGTTCTAGTAATTTCTTAGTTTAAGTATTTTTAGGTATTATAAACTACTTCTTAAATATTCTTTAGTTTAATTATAATTTATAATTAGAATTCTTTATAGGCTAAGTCTTTTAATTTTATAATATATATCCTTAAGTACTAAATAAAAGAGAGGTATACTAATTTATAAGAGTCTACTATAGATTCTTATCTCCTAGGGTAATAATAGGGCGTGCTATACTAGCTTATAAGGTTTATAGTATTAATTATAGTTATTAGTTAGTCTAATAATTAGAAGCGCTATTAGTTATATATGGGATTTAGATTCTAACTAGAGCTACCTAGGTTAATAAGGACTTAAGATTAGGCTAGTTAGTTAGAAAGAGTAAAGAAAAGGTTAAGATACTTAAAATTATACTATAATTATATCTCTAAGCTATAAGGCAAAGTTATAGGTAAGAATTAATTAAATTCTAAGTATAAAGAAGAAATAAACCTAATTATAATAGTTAATAAAACATTTATGTGTGGTGCTTAGTTAGCTAGTGGTGGTTGCTTGTCTGATTGCTAAGGCCGTTCGCCGAATATCAATGCAGCGGCCGTCACATACCCTATATATAGCTCCTATTTATTAGAGTAAAATGCTAATCTAATTAGCTCTCTAGAGCTAATACCTTTAATTATATATAGGATTAACTATAATAGTTTTAGTAAGCTTTAATTCTATACCTCTACTAGTCTATAGAAGATAACTAATTATAAGATTTTAAAGTTATCTTCTCCCTTTTCTAATAACTATACTATAACCCTTATAAATAATAAGAAGCTATATAATAGTTCTTAATAATCTAGTAAAGAAATAATAAATTATAACTTATTTTACTTATTTTAAAAGACTCTTATATAAGGCTAATATAAGTTTATAACTACATATTTTATATATATCTATACTCTACTAGGGGCTCTAGCCTAATCCCTATTAAATCTTAGAAAGCTTAAATAACTTAATATTTAATCTTATATATAATAAATATATTAAGCTTATTTAATATACTAATTAGTACTACTATTATAGCTAGAAATCTATACCTAAGTCCCTACTAGCTCTAAACTAGAATATAGACTAAATAGATATAATACTATAAGGACCTGAGGCCTAAAGGGGTTGTAATAAGTGTGAAAGGGTATAAAGGCACTTAATAAGAGATATTAACAATAGAATCCATGCGTAAATCAATAGTCAGGTTGGCATCATAGATTAACGCTGAGTTATGAAGTCTCTACCTTCGCAAAGGGAGGATATCCTTCCACGTGCTGAGTCAGCCCCTGGCTGACTCAGCCCGCGAAGTTCTAACTATCCTCTATATATATATATGGTGAGGGTCTTACAAATACTTAGGTCTTTACTATTTAATCTATCTTACTAGCCTAACTTATTTTATTTTTATTATTAACCTCTTTTACTTTATTTATCTTTTATTATGTCTATTACTAAGAGCACGACCTCTACCTATACTATAGATTAAATAATTATTAGATTTCTAGTTATATAAAATATACTAAATCTACTCTTATTTTTAAGAGAATAGTACCTAGCTCTATACTCTCTACTCTCTATACTAGATAGCTTTATATAGGGGGCTAATGTTACAGGGGTAGCCTGAATTGCCAGGCCACCAAAGCCACCAAGCTGGTGGCCACCTGGGGTGGGCACCAGAGAGTTTTGGAGACACCAGAGGTGGCCTGCCACCCCTGAATCATAATACCCCTGAAGGATGCATAGTCATAATATTAAGGAACTAATAGGGGATCTCTTTTATATCTATACTTAACCCTTAACCTTATATTCTGCAAGTTTTAGTCTTGTCCAAAATTGAACCTCTTGGTATAGTGAGATATACCTGATCAACTTCCTTTTTAACCCCTTACAGCTAATTAGGGAGGGGGATACTATTATAAATTAACTCTATAATATATACTATATAGCATATACAGCTATAGTCATGTGACTCCTATCTTCTTATTTCCTATCTACTTCTCCTAACCTCTTCTCTTCTTTAACTATTCCTATAAGGACCTGAGGCCTAATAGGGTTGTGATAAGTGTGAAAGGGTATAAAGGCACTTAAATAGAGGTATAAAGAATATAATTAATGCGCGAATCAATAGTCAGGTTAGTATTATAGATTAATGCTAAGTTATGAAACCTCTACCTTTATAAAGGGAGGATATCCTTCTATGTGCTAAGTCAGCCCCTGGCTGACTCAGCCTGCGAAGTTCCAGCTATCCTATACATGTATGTGGTGAGGGTCTTACAATTCCTTCTTATACATATGGCATGTTTAGATCAGAAGATCCATCTATTTACATCCCATAACAGTAAATAAGTATAAAAATATTTAAGGATACTTATTTTACCTATATTTAGTCTTATTCTTTATAATTAATACTATTATTATTCTAAGTGCTACCTTTAGACTAATTTAATTTAAGATTCTTATAATAATACATTACCTAGTACTTCTTAATATGCTTTATTATATATAGTAAAGGCTAGCCTTGCTTTATTCTACCTTTACTAAACCTAACCATGACTAGTCCTTATACTAGTTAGATATTAAGTAAACCCAAGTAAGTTAATCTATTATTAGGGCTTAGGTCAACACAATCCTAAGGTATAGGAAGGCTCAAGAGGTCAACCTTCCATAACATTATTATGTATTTAGTAATAAATGCACTATATTTATAATACTACTTATATAGGGGTAATATAACTCCTAGGATAGTTCCTAAATTTAACAGTTTCCAAAACTCTCTTTCCCTACATAGTTCTTAGTAACCTTCCACACAATTATCCTCATATCCTTTACAGAATTAGACAATTCTAATACGCCTATTTACCCATATTACTTACTACCTTTCACACTACTTGCAAACCTTACAAAGGCCAGGGACCTTATATTATGACCACACACCAGATAATCACGCATAAACTCATTAACCTGTAAGCGGCGAGGTCGGATCGGGGGCGGATGCCAGTCGGTCTTCACACCCGCAGCGAGGTCCTAGCAATCAACGAGATGTCGAGCTACGAAGGATGTACGAAAGAGGAAGGAGGAGCTGTATGCTAATTGATTCAGAAACGAATCGCTGGGGATCAGGAAGACCAGCGATTCCCAGGGGTCTTTTATGTACAGCGATGCCAAGAGAGTCATTCGGGATTTGACCGAAAGGGGTAGGCCTAATCAGGTCAGATCCCGAGCGGCGGTCGCGCGGCCTCCTGCTTCCTGTCGGGACTGCCTGAGGCACCGGCTGTGACATTAACCCTACAGTCACTTATATGCCAAGTTGAGAACTACTGCGCTATAGGGTAAAGAATTTACCATAGTTGACATGATTACTGCCATCGGATGGCAGATCCGGGGCTCGCACCAGGAGACCGATCTTTTATCTAGACCCTGGAAAAAAAGTACAGATAGGCGAACTTTTTCATCTCCTGCACGTCGTCCACTTCCACAACCTTCTCGTCGTTGAATAGCACCCACGAAAGACCGGGTTTTCCGGGCAATTGCTTTCGCACAAAGGCCACATAGTGCCTGCTACGCAGTTAGAACGAGCCGAGTGAGAGTCGGATGGGTGCACTTACCCTGCGTGTATCGACGACCCTTTATGGCATATGATCGATCGCAGCTGATAAGTTGCCGGTGTTGTATCAAAACCAGGTATCCTTGCTTGCTCGCCAGGGTTACTACTGGGCTGTGAGTCTTCGATAGAATCGGCTATCTCATCTGGGTGACTGAAAACCCAATCGATTGCACGGTTGATATCGCCGCCTGTTGCGGCCAATGCTCGTCTGGCACGCGAATCATCAATTCCCATCTCATTCAATTGAGCTATCTTGACCGGATCCTGCGCGGGGCTGGACGCATTCTCCGGATGCTGCTTTTTATGAATAGGCTCGTCTACATCAGGATCATCCATGTGTGACAAGAGCCAATTCATCGCAGCTTCCATGTCGGAATTTCCTGTCAAGTAGAGGGCCTTTTCGCACCTGACTTCGGGAAATCCCATTCCGAGCAGCTGCCCTAGAAGGTCCGCATTCGCTTCGAAACCACCACCCGAGGTTTCATCATCGGGGAGAATCTCTTCATCAACTTTTGGCCCGGTGGAAAGATAGGGTGTTAAATCAATGGGCTCATCATTGACTTCGACCGGGATATCAAGCTTCGTGGGTACCCAGTTAATGAGCTCGAAACGCCGCGCATTGATTACCAGTTGTGCCGGCATCGTTCTGAAGGACGAACGCTTCGAAAACCTTTCTTGGCTATTGCAAGATGAACAACGGAGATCAACAATTTCTTCGGCAGTAAAAACATTCAGACAGTCGAAGAGAGTCACAGGCTCGAACAAAATATTGTGTCCTGCATCATCTGCAAACCCAATACGGCGAGCGGGCACCGGAATCGAGATATTGTCTTGCTCGTCCAGCCTGTAGCGGACCTTCTTACACTTATCGCACTGCAGTCGTTGCTCTAAGCAGAATTTAAAGGAGTCGACAGGATTATCCAAGCCAGCAGGATGTTTCGATAACGTTACGTGCTTGAAGACATGTAGTAGAAACTCAAAAGCATCCTGCTGCCGCATGGTGGAGAACTCAGGATGATCGCGGCCAACAAGATGTTTGAACATCGATGGCGCCAGGCCTCTCTGATGCAAAACGTCATGTGATTCACAGGAAGCCAACGCATTCTTATCTGGTCGAGAATACCGGCCAGAGAGAGTCCCATCCGCCAATTTCCGTAGCTGGGTCTCAAAATCTGCAGCTGGCATCTCGGAAAAAGGCGGCTGTTCGCCAGGATGATAGTATCTGCGTTGAAATTCTGGCAGGTCAAGGAGGCACTGGACAACGCTGGAAAGGTAACAACTATTTCCCAGGTTGGACAAGCCAGTGAGCCCCTCCCCAAAAATTGGATTGAGTTCGTGACCATCTTCAGCAGTCATCGAAAAATCCCACTTTAAGTTCTGTTCAACCTGCATTTCCATCAGGCTCTTCTCCGTTTTCTCTCGACCCGCTAGGTTGATTCCCCAATGAGCGAGATGTGTAGCAAGATCGGGGTCGGTCCTTTCCTCGTTGCACCTATAGCAGTAGATATCCGCCGAGCCGTCAGCAGTTATTGAGCCCAGCTTCACTGCAACGGCGTGAGATGTCGCTTCGAAATGAGCGAGGCCATGTGAATTGCCCCCGGTACCCCCAAATTGGCTGCGGCCGCAACCAAGGTTTCCGCATATCAAACATAACCAGAGGTTCTGCTTCAGATCACACATCGAGCATTGATTGAGATCTGCGTAGTTGAGTTAAACCTGAACGCATGTCGGCCCATGATAGTTGAAGTACCTTGTGATTCGTCCCTTTTAGGATCCAGTTGAACCAAGCTAATGGTATGTTCACAAGGAACGAATTCTTGCTCCCATGCTTTTATCTCTTCCTTCTTGGAGAATGTCGTAGCATTCATGACACTGTCAATCAATACCTGAAGCTTGCCACTTGATTTCTCAACATTATCTTGGTTGCAGATATAGCAAACAACCTGGGTACTCGTATCATAACGATCTTCATCTGTCTCCGCAGTGATTGCAAGCTTCGAGATCTTTTGCGGTGGTTCTTCTCGCTGTTTATGCTTAGCGATTCCCGACGCTTGCCTCTTGCTGAAACGAAATGATGGCGGCCTACCTGGACATTTTTACGCCTCCTTTTGATATTTAATGCGAGAGGGTGTCCAAAACGTTCAAAGTGTAAGCGAGCGTGGTCTCGTGGCCCAGTACATCCACCATTGAAACAGGTCAGGCAAACATTGAGCCCGGGCTCGTCCTCCTGAGGGCATGTAAGTTTATGACGTTGAAAGGGCAAGGGATGAAGGACGGACGATGGAATCGAAACACTGGGTGCAGTCTTCTCGATATACAGCCTGAGAAGCTGACGGAGGCAGTAGGTCTGGAGCCAAATATACCGTATTAGTCTGAGTGAAAACAGCGGGACACAAGTGCCAGACGAACCTGGTGCACCCGTATGGAGACAGGGTGCCATTTTATGACCGTGTGAGACGCGATGCAGTGAGATTAGTGTATCTAGAAAGGAGAGACAAGCGGATCTTTGGAATCGTAGTCAGTGTCCAGGATTATAAAGAAACTATTTATTAAAGGTTTGCGTAATGGGGCTGACAAAAGGAGCTCACCTCATGCAGGTCTTTCTGCCTGGAGGGATGACGCTTGATCGGCTGGCGGGGCAAGGTAGTGGTCGAAGAAGCAAGGTGGGGTCTGACATTTGAGCCACTTAACGCGTCCTTCTCCCGTCGCGGAGCGCGTCCATCCTCACAACCACCTCAACATCACTCTCAACGTAATCGACCACAATCCTGAGGACCGAAAACTCATTCAAATAAGCCTTGTGTGATATCCGCCATGGCATCGCCAGCGTCGCATATCTCCGTAGGAGCACTCAGGTAACGTTCCTTTCTGTCCATATTCCTTCCACCCTTTGCGTTTGACCTTGTTGTCACACTTGCTAATTGCATTTTAGCGGCATATTCGATGATACAAAGCCTCAGTTCCGGGAACCCATAGTTCAATGCGTTCAAGTCAAGCCACTACCGCCCCAAGCAAACAATCATCAGGAACGCTTCCGTGTTGTGTTTAGCGATATCTCTAATTATGTCCAGACAATGCTTGCAATCCGTAAGTTGATGGAACAATAAAGCTAGATGCCTGTCGCTAACAGTCTTCAGAGGCAAACCATTTTGTGACGGAGGGCTCGCTTCGCAAAGGATGCTTCGTGAGGCTGAAATCCTTCCAGGCTAACTCTGTAAAGGGCAAAAAGTATACCTTTCGCCCAATACGGTTCTTCAAGTTGCTGACCATATGATTCTGTTAGAATCCTCATAATACTCGACCTGGAGGTTCTGAGTGATCTAGGAGAGGCGGAAAAGATCGGCGAACCTAAACCACTGGAAAACAAACTTGAGGAAGACGAGAAGCCGCAGCCCACGACAATATCTAGTAACGGCTTTTATGGAGCTAAGGCTCAGAATGCAGCACAACGTGTCAACCCTCAACCCCAGACAGTGCGGCCTATGCAGGGTTCTGCATCGGCTACGATCTATCCCATCGAAGCGCTCTCCCCCTATGCCCATAAGTGGACAATCAAAGCCCGCTGTACGAGCAAGTCTGCCATTAAAACCTGGCATGGAAGGAGCGGCGATGGCACGCTGTTCAGTGTCAACCTACTTGACGACAGTGGTGAGATACGCGCTACCGCATTCAACGACCAATGCAATGCTCTCTATGACCTTTTTCAGGAGGGCGGCGTTTACTACATTTCCAGCCCGTGCCGTGTTGCAATCGCTAAGAAGCAGTTTACGAATCTTAACAATGACTACGAACTTACATTTGAAAGAGATACCATTGTTGAGAAGGTGGGCAGACATGAAAAATATCGAAAAGGGGCTGGCTAACTTGGATGTATAGGCAGAGGACCAGAACGACGTTCCCCAAGTACGTTTCAACTTTACTACGATTGGGGATTTGCAATCTGTCGAAAAAGACACCACAATCGATGTTATAGGAGTATTAAAGGAAGTCGGGGAAACCACCCAGATTCGGTCAAAGTCAACACAAAAGCCTTACGACAAGCGTGACCTTACTCTAGTGGACAACACGGGCTATTCTGTTCGCTTGACTATTTGGGGGAATACAGCGATGAGCTTTGGCACCCCGCCAGAGTCGGTTGTTGCCTTCAAAGGGGTGAAAGTATCCGACTTTGGCGGCAGAAGTTTGAGTTTACTCAGCTCAGGCTCGGTGACAGTCGACCCTGATATCGAAGAAGCTCATAGACTCAAGGGCTGGTATGACGCGCAAGGTAGGTCTGAGACGTTTGCAACCTATGACCGCATGTCTGCTGCAACAATGTCCACTACGAGGCCCGACCAGTTCAAGACAGTTGCCCAAGTTCAGGAAGAGTTGTTGGGAATGTCGGAGGAACCAGCCTACTTTTCACTCAGAGCTACCGTCACCTATTTCAAGCGCGATACCATGTGCTATCCTGCTTGTTTATCCGAAGGTTGCAATAAGAAGGTTACCGAACTTGACCCCGGCCAATGGCGCTGCGAACGTTGCGATAAGACTCATCCACGCCCAGAATATCGGTACATAATGTCCATCAGTGTCAGCGACCATACCGGCCAGCTTTGGCTCAGCTGTTTTGATGATGTCGGCAAAATGATGATGGGGATAACCGCGGATCAGTTGATGGAAATGCAGCAGAATGATACCAAGACAATTGATGAGATTTTCCAGAATGCTAACTGCCGCACCTGGACATTCAAGTGCCGAGCGAAGACGGATCACTACGGGGACCAACAACGGTGAGTCCATGTAGCCCAACATACACTACAATGCTAATTGCTCGCCGCGCAGTATTCGCTACCAAGTTTCATATGCAAACCCGGTCAATTACTCAGAGGAGGCGTCTCGTCTTGCAAGTTTGATAGATAGCTACCATATCTAGTCGTGATTTCCATTGTGTAGGGCAAACGCCACTTGTTTTCTTGCTGCAATTTTCCCTCGTGGCGCGGATATTCATCAAGCGCTGACTCCCAACAACCTCTGTAGTGCAGGTACTTTCTGACTTGGCTTCTCCAGAGAGGATCCGCCCCCGGCGGTTCAAGTTCCTGCCAAGATTGAGCGGACAAGATAATTGGCTCAGAAAATTAGTTCTAGATCCACTTTGCGAAAGCGAGAGCAAAATAAAAAAAAAGGCGCTTTTCGAAAAATTTTGAAGAATTCCTTGCCAGGCCTTACGAACCTTTTCGTTACGATCGCAACCGGGAACAGGAAAATATGGCGAAGCGAGACCGTCAAGGTCAGTCTGGGGACTCTAAACCGAGCAAGAAGTCAAAGAGCGCAAAACACGGAGATGATGATTCTCAAGACAAGGCGCCTCTTTACTTACAGTCTCCTGCTCTGGACAATGTTCCCCAGGCGGAGATCGACCAGTTCCTCTCCAAACATTCTATCAAGATTACGGATTCCTTACCCGACGCTTCCCCCATACGACCCATTATCTCATTTTCATTTCTCCCCGCAAGCGATCCTGAACTGTACGCCCCTTTGGTTGCATTTCCCGCGCCAACCGCTATCCAGTCAGCGACATGGCCGCTCTTGTTTGCCGGCCGCGATGTGATCGGAATTGCGGAGACGGGAAGTGGGAAAACCTTGGCTTTTGGTTTACCCTGTTTGAAAAAGGTGCTAGATTTGAGGAAGAAGCAGAGCAAACAAAAGCCATGCCGACCAATCGCGGTAATCATCTCTCCGACGCGAGAACTTGCAATGCAGATTTATGACCAGCTTCTAAAATATGCGGGTTCTGTCGGTGTGCGGGTCGCTTGTATCTTCGGTGGTGTGCGAAAAGATGAGCAGCGCGAGGCCTTGAAGTCTGCTTCTATTGTCGTGGCGACGCCGGGGCGCCTGAAGGATCTTCAAAACGACGGCTCTTTGGATCTTAGCAAGGTTAAGTATCTCGTTTTGGACGAAGCAGACCGTATGCTGGACAAGGGGTTCGAACAGGATATCAAGGATATAATCGCTCCAATGCCGGTCTCCAAGCGTCAGACCGTCATGTTCACTGCAACATGGCCCCCTGCTGTGAGAGAACTTGCATCATCATTCATGGCTTCACCTGTCACTGTCACTATCGGTGGTGAGCCATCCTCAGATCCTCGGGCGAACAGCAGAATCAAACAAGTTGTGGAGGTTGTCAAACCAGTCGAAAAGGAGCAGAGGCTTGTGCAAATACTAAAAAAGTACCAGCGAGGGACAGATAAAGTCTTGACCTTCTGTTTATACAAAAAGGAAGCAATGCGTGTCGAACGGCTGCTAAGGGCCAAAGGCTTTAAGGTCGCTGGCATCCACGGCGACCTGAGCCAACAGGAGAGATTTAAAAGTCTCGAGGCCTTCAAATCAGGTGCCGCAACTGTTCTCGTTGCTACTGATGTGGCCGCTCGTGGTCTCGATATACCTCATGTGAAATTGGTTGTTAACGTTACGTTTCCCCTCACTGTTGAGGATTATGTACACCGAATTGGCCGGTAAGATACTTGGTCCCCTCTGCATAATGTCCTTGGCTAATGTACTCTTCTCTCTAGAACTGGGCGTGCTGGGGCCGATGGACATGCCATCACTCTTTTCACAGAAACTGACAAGGCTCAGTCCGGCGCGTAAGTGGAAATAGACATTCACTATCCAATAACTCGAACATTCACTGAACGTTTATAGGTTAATCAACGTTCTGAAAGCTGCGAACCAAGATGTACCGGAAGATCTACTCAAGTTTGGTTCTACTGTGAAGAAGAAGCAACATGACGCTTATGGCGCGTTTTTTAAGGATGTCGAGCCGGGCAAGACAGCCACAAAAATAACCTTTGACGATTAAACCGGCATGTTTAGTCGGTTTTTGACCTCGTAACTTTGGATTTGACGGCTTCCTGGAGTTTGGTGTAATGTTTCATGATGTGCTCCCTCTCGAAATACAATCTATATGGATCGGTAGATTAGAACCTATTCTTGCCACGGACTAATCAACTTACACCAGAAGAACATAGCTTCCCCCAAGGCCAAACGGGAGGATGTCTCCATAAGAATCGATATTGGATTTTAGAGCTGAAAACATGGCAGTCACCGCAGCCCCGGCAGCATAGGTCTGAGGTCGCAAAGCGAACTCCTTGAACACTAAATCAATGTTCTGCCGACGCAAGAAACGCTGGACGAAGCTAAAGCTCCAAACTATCCGAATAAACATATTCACGACGTTGGCATAGACCAGACCGTGGGCGCCCAAACCGCCAATCGCTAGGAATATGTAGGCTGCCAGAGCGAAGCACGCCGAGAACAGCCCCATCCATGCGGCTTGGTTTCGAAGCTCAGCCGGGCTTGCGGCTGATGATACGAATGCTTCACCAATACCGTTGAAGGCCAGGAAGGGGATGTAATAGCAGTACAACCCGAGTAAACTATCCACTTCTGGCACAGTCCAGCGCCGCCCGCCTAGAATATGAAGTGCTTTCGGGGCCAGGGCTGGACCCAAGGGGATTATTAGGACCGTAATCATCATGTATCCTCGCATCACATTTAGCAGGTGTACCTTGGCTATCCGAATGTTGCTGTCCGAGCCCTTGGCTCCTTTGAAGCTGAGAAGAGACGAGAAGATTGTTCGACTGCTCTCTTCGATAGGCTGGAATAGGATACGAGCAAGCAGTCCCCCGTAGTTCGAAGCGAGCGAGTAAATACCCTGGTCCTGTAAGGTCGTCATGGCTGCCAGGATCATGGAGTCACCTTGGGTTAGCAAGTGCTTCACGACGGACTGCAGAAAAACATTTGCGGATACTGAAATCAGTAGCCTTGAGAACCTGTTCGAGAGGTATTCGGCGTTGTCACTAGGAAACGTAAATCTCTGCTCCAATACTTCTGGGATCGAGTGACTGGCTTACACTGATTCGATACGGGAAAGCAAGAACGAGAAATGCCGAACCCCTGACATATGCATTGCAGCTAGAAAGTAGCCACAAAATAGCACCATCGAATAGGACAGGTAACCCAATGCGAATGGCAGAACTCCGAGGCTGCGGCTCGACCAAGCAGCCCATATGGATAAGCCACATGTAACTAGGCTTTTCACGAAAGCAGCACATATCTCAGCAGCTGCCCTCTTACTGTAGAGCATATTCTGCTGTACCACGACAAAGAATGGCTCGGAGCTCAGTTCAATGAGCGCTGCAATAGCCGTAACTGCTACACTCCAGTGGTAGAATGGCGTCTTCACAACTTCTTTGGAAGCAAAGTGGGCGTATAACGCACTAAACGTCGCTGCCATTACAGCGCCCATGACGATGCTTAGGTAGGACATGTTCACTGTCGATTGGAGTAGTTTGGTTTGGGCTTCCAGTCCCTTCTGTTTTTGGCTTGACAAGCTCGCATCGTGGATTGTACCAGTGGAAGATGCTGTTGGCGGCAGTAAAGGCTGCCTCTGAATAGCTGCTCGTATACTTTCTCTGGAAAAGTATAGGATTGTGATCAAGAACAACTCAAGTTGCGCTGAAACTCCTAAGGTAGAGGGCGACAAGCTCCTCAAAACCACTTGGTTTGAGCCGAAAATGAACAGCCTGGAGGCCAATTGAATAATTATCAGCGAAGTGGCCCCAGACATTGCCGATGCCAGCATGTTGCTGGAATTTCCCATCTGATGTGACATGGCCAGACAAAGCGATGTGTTGCTTAGGAGGGGTGACAGCTGGTATTTTCGCCCTTCCTTATGTTTTCGGGTCCCCTCCACGAAAGATGTAAAGTATGAAAAGGACACCCTGAGCTTCGCTGTTGCGGGACGAGGCGGCACGACCCAACGAAAGCATCCGCGATATCGACGCTACACTGATTCCGCTCTACAATCCGAAAATGTTGATATCTACAGCGATTGTTCTATTGATAGACCATCCACAGGTTTGAATTTATGCCTTTGTGGTATCGGCAAAATGCGTTTTGTGTTTAGTACTACTATGTCGTCGCAGTGACGCCCTGCGATACCAGCAACCCTAAAACCGTCGTACGCCCCCGGCCCTGTTCTCCCATAATCTGATGGACCACTCGACCACTCAGATTCTCTGAGCCGAGCACGACACGGCTTCCGAGCGGCTTCTTTGAGCCTACAGAATATTTGGATAAACCTTGTTGATGACAAGCGGAGATGAGGGCTGTTAAACATCAAGCTCTGCTTCGGACGAAAGGTCGCTGTAAAGCGCTAGGTGACCTAAAAAGGAGGTAGGAAGAAGGGGTATCCCCCATTCTTCACCCTGAAGACACTCAAGAGGAAACTGTATGTCCCGAGCAGCACAACTCCCCAAATAACAACAGCCACCTGCTGCGACTTGTTGTCTGCAATACGGGGAACCTTCATAGCTAGCGCAATCGCGGAAAAAGACAAGACGGCATCTATAGCAGTACAATTAGTATGTATGCTCCCCACGAGCTCTGAAGATCCGCTTCCTACAAGCACCGGAGCGCAGGCAACTTACAGATAGCAGCAATAACCTGGGTTTCCATCCCGAATTGGTTCGAGAAACCGCCTGCAAAATAGCTGATACCTCCCTTTCCATCCCCAACCACATAAGGCACTTTGCGGATGTGGTTGAACATGTGGCCGCTTGTGAACAGAAGAATGGCAATCAAGCTAAAGGCAGCCCACAGATTCCGGTTTCGTACAATGGGAAGTACGTAAGGTGAGAGTACGGTAAATAGAGTTACTGCGCCCATGAGTATTGTGAGACCTGAGATGATTCTCACATAGTTGATTGGACGGACGAGGGGCGGCTTTGGTCCATCAGGAAGATGACGATTGATCCAGGCGTACACCTGGTCAGCAGAAATTGGACTTATGGGAAGCAAAGGTAGTCAGTCAAGTGTACTCATCAGCATAGCACCCTTGTAGGGCTATATCTCACCCGCTGAAGTCGAATCTCAATGGACTGTCATCAACTCTCGCGTATGGCCCGACTGTTGGAGGGAAAACAAGAAGTACGGGAGCAGTTTGAAGCATGAGCTGTTTCTGTTATTAGCCGGGGGTTTTCAAAAGTAGCTTCAATGCATACTTTTTGGAAAGTGTTTTTGCCATTGGTGAAGTCGAGGGTACCAAAAAGCAGTTTCAGGTCGTCGGGCTTGTTGCCTTTGTTCCAACTCCTGGCGATCAGATCGAACTCGGGTTGAAAATCTCGGCAAAGAGCGCAGCCAAACCGAGCTTCCATTGCCGTCAAGATGATTGCCGCATAATAGTCACGGGGTTTTGCAATGAGATCATCATAAGAGGAGTCATCCAGCTGGAGGGGCGCAAGACGAGAGATAGACTGATAGCGCTCGAATTTGTCAACACTTGGCGAGGCAGCGAAAGTGACGGAGATGAGGTAGAGGAGCGAGGGGATGAGAGTAAAGAGCTTCATCTTGACCGATAATCCATACAATAATCGTTCAAAAGCCCACCGAAGCGACTCAATGCATTGAAACGTGAAAGAGTGAAATAATGGTTGGAGGAACATCAAGCGGGCGGCATATAGGTGTCCACTACCACTACGTGACTACGCGCGGCGGCCCCACTGCAGTTGTTTTGCTTCCCATACTGCGGAGCTGATAATCCCCCTTGTCGTTCGCGGCTGGCATCGCACCATTAACATCGCATTTATGATTCAGCGGATTTCTACTCAACACAAATAGCGCGCGAATATGGAGCTCTTTACGCAGGCGCCGGAACTTGTGGCCGAAGAGGATGTACGGGCCTTGTTGTCGATCTTCATATGCAAACATGACATGGACTGACGCGCCGCGCATTTCCTAGTATCGGATGGCCCTCGCAACAGCACGGTTTGAGAGGGAGTATGACCAAGTCTATATGCGTACAGCACAGCTTCTAGATGCCGAGCGCGATCGCGTGCAGTGCATGGAGAAGCTTCTTCTCCGGATAGAGAACGAAAGTTTACAATCGCAGTTGAACCGGACAGACCAGGAGCTAGCACGGGCTAGGCAGGCCGAGGCGGACGCCCAACTTCAGCTTGACACCGCCATTAGGGAACTTGAACGCTTACAGGATGTTGTCCAAACATCATCGCGTGAAGCAGAGGCTCTGCGTGTACGTGGCGCATGCGCCATACCTTAATACGAATCTTCTGACACATCTCTTGTAGCGTGAACTTGCATCTTTGAATGCCATTGCTTCGGATTTTCAAAAAACTCAAGCAGAAAAAGTTCGACTTTCCAAGGAAGTGTCGACCATACAGTTAGAGCTCGAGAGGCTGAGATCCCAGAATACTTCCGCCAATGCGCTCCTTGCGGAAAAACAAGCTCTCACCCGGCAGCTGAACGTGCTCGAGGTCCAGCTTGAGACCGAAAAACGTGCACATGAGCGTACATTAGCCAAAGGATCCCAACAAACGAAGGAAACCACAAGTCTTGCCACAAAGCTGGAGGAAGCACGGCGAGAACTTGACCTGGCACGACGGCACGGACAACAGATGGCGCATCAAGCCCCAGCTGTTCGCAAACCTGAGGGCACTAGCAAGAATCTGGAAGGAGCCAGGGACGGCGCACCGTTCTCTTCTCCGCAGCCTCATAACAATCGAAGCAGCGCTAAAAAGACAATCTTTTCAGAGCGAACCACCACCGTTCCTCTTCGAGGGACCGCCAGTCGCTTGCACTCCGAGCTAAATGTTGCCACTCCGGGAGCTATCCGTGCACAAAAACAACAAAAACAGATTCCCACGATGCCGGGTGAGAAATCGTCGTTTTCAATAACGCCGTTTCTGAATCGCACGACTAGCCTTGGAGACTCGACAATGATCTCCGATGATGAACTCAATGAAGCCCAGAGTGGAGGTAGCCATCAGAAACTGCCTGACCTATCTAAGCATGCACGGCGCCGTGATAGCTCGCCCACAGCAACGAAACAGCCTTCCAAGCCAGACAGAGAAAGCTCCACGACGGCCGCTGCCAAAAAGCCCAAAATTGCACAAAAGCGTAGTCTACTCGACAGTCCTGATAAGGCTAGGGAATCCAGCTTTTCACTCTCTCACCCTTTGGGACAAAAACAAGCTGCGCAGAAGAAACGCAAACTGGGCTTGCAACGGGACAGGAGCTTATTCGATGATGATGAGGAAGACAACCCTCTACAGGATAGCAGGAAGCCAGGGCGGAAGCTTGTTGGTGCAGGACAGACAAATCTAACAGGGGCCCGCGCGTTCACCGGGCCTGCTGGGTTCTCACCTCTAAAACGGCACAAGAAACGGTTTTAGGGTCAATTAGTACTGAACTTGGTAATCTCTAGTATGTCTAGACATTATGATACTAGCATCATATCAACTCATTTTCAGAAGTAGCTAGCTACTGTAGCTTAGCCTTTTCTAGACTCCAGCCATTCAACATTATTGAGCTTGTGTGGATATGCCAAGACCCCCAGGAACCGCCCCAGACTCCCAGTCGCACCTGGCACGCTCCGAGATCGTTGGACATGTTCGGGCTTTATCGAATAATATTCGGCTGCTGGTCATGGCGTTGATACTACCATTGTGGCCCTCTAAGAGGATAAAGTGTATTTGTCATGTGCAGCAGATCCTACAAAAAAGGCTTTCCTCGTCTAAACGGTGGCAGGCGCGCCAGCTCAATGATCATTTTACTCGTGAAGCAGCAGTGCAAGGCCTCAAAAGCCGGGCTGCATTCAAGCTTCTGCAGGTATTTGAAGCTCGGTTGTGCTTTAATGACGTGGAAGACATCTAACATTCTTTCTCTCTCCACTCTTAGATAGATGAGAAATATCGCCTCTTTAGAAAGGGCCAAACCGTGGTCGATCTCGTAAGGCTTTCATCTCGAAACAGAAAATATCCGCTAACACCTAGGCCACCGAATGAAGGGATATGCTCCAGGATCCTGGTCTCAAGTACGAACACATCATCCTTAAACAATTGGCTGCTTTATTAATTTTATTTGCCAGGTAGCCATGACGCGAACCCAGCCCAATGGCAGAGTCCTCGGTGTCGATATAATTCCAAGCCAGCCGCCAAAAGGTGTGTCCACTATACAAGGGAACTTCCTGGACCCTGAAGTGCAAGCTTATGTCCGGGATTTCGTGCGTGATCCTCGGAGGGGTCGACTTCGGTATATCGACAACCGAGAAGGGATTGTGGAGTCTATAGTGGACGCAAACTCTTCCGGTGATCTACATCTCACTGATGATATCAGTAATGAAAGAACGGTGGATGTAGTTCTTAGTGATATGTCTGCTCCCTGGACTCAAACCGCTGGATTTTGGAAGAGAAGTCTAAGTAATCCCTACAACAGGATGATGAACACCAGCGGAATGGCTTTCAGAGACCACGCTGGCAGTATGGTAAGCTTCCCTGTCCGATATATCCGGCGTCGCAATATAATGACACTTAACAGGACCTATGCCGTGCCGCTTTAGAGTTCAGCTACGAGGTTCTCAAGAACGGTGGTCATTTCGTCTGCAAATTCTACCAGGGAGCTGAGGACAAGGATTTGGAGAAGCAACTAAAATTATTGTTTCACAAAGTACACAGAATCAAGCCAGAGTCGTCGCGCAGCGTATGAGATTACCGGTTGGTATATATCGCATTATCATTCGGCTAACGTCGTCTCTAGGAATCAAAGGAAGCCTTCTTCATTGGCCTCGACCGTAAACCGCGGGCAACAAAGGAAGAAGTCTTTGCGTCCCCTTAGCGGTTTCAAAGTGATAACGGACTCTGTATTATCCAGAGCCTGTGCCTGCTAAAGTATGCATTTAATTTCATGCTGAGTCTTCAGTTCGTGATGTCTCCATTAGTTCAGAATCCTCGTCCCACTCGATGTCGGCCAACGTCGCTTCTGCAGTTTCTTGAACCTTCAAAATGATCAACGAATTGGGCCAGCCACAGAAGGGTAAAAGAGATAGCAACTTACCTCTTTAAGGCCACTCAGTTCTTCGACATAACCCGTTTCGTTCAGCGCTCTTTGCACAAAGTTCCACCCTTCTTTCCTGTACTCGTTGATGATGTTCCCGGAACACGCGCTACAGCATTTGTAGCTCCGCCCAACCACAGAGACATTCTCGAATGTGGAGAGGAACCCTCTGATCTGATGCGGCACGACACCAAGAGGGTGGTCGTGTCGGTCGCGATCCTGGGGTTGTGGTGCCCTTGCAGCTGCGCCTTGGGGGTGTTGGAGGACTGAGACAAGCAGCTCGACTAAAAGAGCCGAAGCTATAGCGGCTACTCCGGGTCGTGTAACTGTGCATTGTTGATCGAGTGTTTGGTCCTTTTGGGACTTCGAAATGCTTTAGCCAAGTTCAAAGCAGCTTCAGATGATAACTCACATTCATGGGAGCAACGACATCGTTGCAAAAGTAACATCCTAGTTCTTGCCCCGGATTTTTGTCATTCGCAATACCGTGTCGCATAACAACGAATGTATCGAACCCTAGCGCTGCATTCATGACAATTTTACCCGCGGCCTTTCCCATTACTGTCGGCAACCAGCGGGACTCTCGTGTGTCCATTAGGAGGAAGATCGCATCATGGTCGTCTATGAGCTTCCTGAGCTTTTCGAATTCTAATCGTGTCTTTTCCGTGTCCAATACAGGGTGGCCGGCCATTGGTACGGAGAGCACATGGCCCTCAGATTTGACCCCCGGATAGATCTCTGCCAGGGCTTCGGACGCCCGTAGGGCTTTCTTCGCGCCGCCGCCGAGACAGTCTGTGAAATTGAAGAGTGGCTGCCGTACGGGGTTGGAGAAAGAAACAGTTCCGCTATCTACGAATGTGATTTCTTTTACTCCCCAGGCCTAACCTATTAGCATCAATGAATAGGCAAGGAAAATCAATATCCGTACCATCAAATTCCGAGCAACATAACTTCCGAGGGTCCCAGCTCCAAGTAGAAGACATTTTGTACCCTTGATCTTCTCAAGCTCTAGGTTAGGACTAATCCGCCATTTCATTAGCTTGAGATTGAGGTCAACGGACTGGTCGGCGAGTCTGAATATCAAAACGTATGGTTAGTATTATGGGTGCTTCATGTTCCCGGGATTTCGATACCTCTTTGGATCTAAGTATTCTGTGAGGTCGACGAATCTCCCTGCTAGCTTGCCTGCCGGATTTCGCTCCCACCCGGTGACCTTGGGCAATTCGTCTTTCGCGTCGCATATTTCGATGGGCTTTGGGGCTCCTGATCCCTTCAATGCGAGTGTCATCACGAGGCTGCGGCCATGATCTCGCTGAGACGGCCCTTCACGGTAGCGCATGATCTGTATCTTTGAAAGTTTCCACCGTCGCCTCGCCAGGACCAGTAGATTGCGCAACATCCAGCCAGGCGCCTCATCATAATTTGAAGGATCAACGAAGCAGGTGAAACAGTCCTCCGGGGCTGCGCCTTTGAAGAAGCCGTCCTCAAAGCTAGAAAGCGGGGCAATGTTCCAGGAAACACCATCACTGTTGTCGGCTTTAATCCTTCGAGCCAAAAAGAACCCTCGTTGGCGTGCGTCAACCTCTTCAGACCAAACTTGTACTGAATCAATAAGGGCTGAGTTCTCGGTGCTCGCGAGACTCTTGGGCTGTGCATGTCGTGTCCCAACGGAGCTCGGGTCTGCTCCCTTATCCGCCACCCCGATGGGTACCCAGGGGGGGTCGGAATGAATGGCAGGGAATGCGAACCAGTAATGAAATTTGTACTTTTTCAGGTCCGCGTATGATAGGATGATGAATGAAGATAGGAGAGAAGGGCAGGAATAGATGGTGCCGTCGTTGATGGCATCCCAGATCTAGAAGGGATGGAATCAGCCTCGTCAACCAAGAATACATCTTGACTTGGACTGACCGTTTTCCCGGACTGCTGGAGCATTCCCACTTTGTCAGTGTTTGAATACTCTTCTATGGTGTTGACATTCTTTATGATTCCTTCGGCGCGGTAAAGGGTTGTGGGCACCCTGTGTTGTAGTAATCAAATCGCAGTTAGCTTGACATATATCTTGACCGAATACGGCACTCAGAATACTAGAAGGCCTGAGACTTACTCATCGCTAGTCAGGGCACTTGCATGTATTTGCATCCGACAAGAGGCATTCGGAGGGTCTACCGGGCGAACCTCGTAGAGCCCCAGGACTTTACGCGCGGAGTCGTCGAGCTTGTCATGATTGATCTTCAGCGACGCCAGCGCACTGTAGAACGGAAGCTCTATGTCGGAGGCAAATGGTGTGTATTGCATGGTTGTAGCTACTCGATGGTCGAAGGCACCAGGTCGTTGGTAGCTACAGTGGGGTTGTACTAGGCATGCTAGTAATGTAGCTGGTAGGTTCGGGGTGATGTACGGTGCACCCCAGGCCGGGTAGATCGGCTTAATTATGTATATAGTGATCGCCAGGAGACCGCAGCCTCTCTTTTAAAAAGGCCCAGCGCTTGATGGTACGCGGCGGCTGGATATAACAGGGGAATGATAGATGACACTGGGACATGCTCAACCATCATTCATGGTCGACCTATCCATGGCCCATGGGGCGGTGGTCAAATCGTCTGACAGAGGCAGGCGTACCCCCGCGCATTACGTCACTTAATCTGGTAGCATGACTTCTCCAGCCTCAAGCGGCATCCATACTCCGTACATCGATGTAGACAAATGTGGAACAACCTGATTGCAAGGGATCCCACAAGAGTCAGAAGGGGAAAGCAGATGATGAACGCCCTACTCGTGGTACAATACTACTGCTATCTTATACCTCCAAAAGGGCAGTAATATAGTGTGCTGGGGCAACGTACAGGATCGAAATTCAGTTGCATACTAAGAGCAATGAGCCGCCAACAACCTACATCAGAACCTTTGATCTCCATCAAAACTCTCCTCGGCAACCAATGTCATGTTTATTGGTATCTACGTCGATATGAGGATAGTTTCATACCGTGCCATTTTGGCCCAACTTCTTCTTCCGGTACTAGTATATGGCATTAATCACCGAACCCCGAACCCTACAGGCTAGAACAGAGTACAAGAAGAGTCGGTGTACAACAAAAATCAAGCCTTGAAGTGCTCGACACGCCCTCGGGGCAGTATGGTGCTCTAGAGCTACTAATCGTACGATTAACCCTGTCTGTCGCCGTACCTGTGCAGCGTGAACTCGTCAAGCCCCCACTTTTTTTTTTTAACCCAATCGCCATTTGAACTCCAGCAGACAGTCGCAATCAGTATAGCTATTTCTTCTCCCATTTCATTCCAGAAGCGATCCGATTCAAATCAGCTATCGGCCGCATACGAGTCGTCTCGTAAGTGTATCCTGGCCCGGCCACGAATAAACAATGCTCATTGGCCTAAGTGGAGGTTGGTTGCTTAGCAGACCCTCAGCGTTGGCTTGAAGAGAAGGCTAACGGATGCTTAACCCTCAAGGTATCTGCGCCGGAAAGCATGCCGTTGCAGAGTATTTAATCCAACACCAAGGCTTCCGACTTCTCGAATTGAAGAACAACGGCGTCTCCCATACCGCCCGTGATCCCCGGCTACAGCACATAAACCTTACAATTAATCAGGATTCGCGGTTGGAGTTTGATACTGCCGAATCCCTTCTCGACTTCGCTACGAAGAGATGGCAAGAACACTGGGTCACCACACACAGCTGGAATGTTGCGACCCTTGACCGTTTCCTGCAGCGCCCTTTTTTCCTCCTGGTGAGCGTCGATGCACCGGTCAGCCTGCGATGGAAGCGCTTCGCGGAAAGGTGAGTAATTACAGCATACCGTTCCAGCCGTTGAGTGAAAGGGCTTGCTGATCCTTGCTCGAGATGTGAAAAAAACCAACTCGAAGCCCCGCACCTCGAGGAATTCGTTCTCTGGAATGACAAGCAACTCTACGAGAAAAATGTCGGTCGTGCAGTCCTCACCGACCGAGCGCAACTCCGCCTGTTTAACTCATCATCGTCCCTGGATGAGCTACACGCCGCTCTAAAGGCGCTCAATCTAGCCGATGAACAACGCCTACGCCCAAATTGGGATCAGTACTTCATGGAACTCGCGTCTCTTGCCGCACAACGAAGTAACTGCATGAAACGCCGAGTAGGTTGCGTTCTTGTCAGAGAACGCCGCGTTATCAGTACCGGCTATAATGGAACCCCTCGGCACCTACAAAACTGCAACGAGGGTGGATGTATGACCCCTTTGAAGTAGTGAGGAAGATAACATATTCATATTCTGCTAGGCCCGAGATGCAACCGTGGTGAGGGAGGAGGAGTTGGCCTGTCGACGTGCCTTTGCCTCCATGCTGAAGAAAACGCCTTGCTGGAGGCGGGGAGGGAGCGCATACGAGAAGGCTCAATTTTGTATTGCGACACGTAAGAGTATGCCTTTCATTGAACCAACGCACATAGGCTAATTTACCGAACGAAGATGCCCTTGCCTGACTTGTACTGTCAAGATTGCACAGGTTGGAATTTCGGAGGTCGTGTACTCGCAAGGCTATAATATGGATAAGGATGTGAGTCACTTTTGACACTCTCGAGAGGACGTTCGAGTGAACGCAAACTGACATTGAATAGAGTGCGGCAATTCTTGAAGCGGCAGGCATACGTTTAAGACAGTTTTCTCCCGTAAGGAGGCCCAATATTTGCCTGGCACTAGCCGATGCTGACAGCCTGTAGCCTCGGAATGGTCTCATCTACCTCGAAGACCCAGAAGGGAAATAAATGGGAATTCGACGTTCAATGATCGAGGAAAACCCTGATAGCAAGTGAGGAGATGCAAGTAACTTACGCCAGGGCGAAGTAAGCCGGCATAAAATGGATCTGGCTGAATATCTGCCAACCATGTTCGAAAGTGCCCCGAAGATTTACTTTAACTACCGGATTGAGCGTTAGTATAGTAGCATCCAAGGTAAGGTATGCATTATCCTGCGCCTAGAGTCACTTCCTGTCAAGGTTTACTTTTGGCCGACCACTTTGTGACAGTGCCCCATTAAGACTGTATCCGATCTTGAAGCTCCCATTATAATATATCATCACTACGTCCGGGCGAGGATGCAGATTTCTATACAGGAGGTTGTCCGCTCAGATATCAGATTCGAACCGCCTGACTAGGAAGTCTTTGCTACCGAGGTAATTTTTCACGTCACCAACGGTATACTCACCACGATGGAACTATGACCCCGTTAGTCTTGTGGTGATGACAAGGATAGATAATATACGTACCATTCCAGCACCCAAAGCGGCATCGGTCGTTGTCTGTTCGAACACTTCCTCAAAGTGCTTGGGCACGCCTGCTCCGCTGGAAGCAATGACCGGTATCGTTGTCGCAGCCTTGACGAGGTTTATGAGCTCTAGATCGAACCCGCTGTTGCTTCCGTCCTTGTCGATGCAGTTCAGCAAGATCTCTCCGGCCCCCATGACTTCCACAGCTTTCACCAATTGACAAACATCCAAGTCACGCGTCTCCCGACCACCCTTGATGGTGCACTGATACCAGCAGAAAGTTTGCCCAGCAGCATTGGGGTGTTTTGTTTCAATTGTATGGTGTGTTGTATCCTCTGGCTTGGTCACATATACGCGTTTCGGGTCAACGCTTACAACGACAGCCTGATTACCATAAGCTTTTGAGATAGTTTCAATAGCCGTCTTGCCGGAAAGAACCTCGCCAGCTTCATAAAACTCTTCGGCGGCGATAACAGCATCCGAGCCGATGCTGACTTTGTCAGCCCCTGACTTGAAATACATTGTCGCCACGTCGAGCGCCGGTATGTGAGTGCCATCTGTATCCACAGTATCCCTGATGCCGCCCCCGATCGTCAAAGGCACGAAGACGGTCTCTGATGTTCTCCTCAAGATTTCAAGCATCGGGAGATCAGCCACCGGGCAATTTCTGAAGGACGTGATGTTCAGAAACGTGACCTCGTCGGCCCCTTGCTCATAATATTTCTTTGCCATGTCCACGGGTTTCCCTAGGTTTCTCACCTGGCCTCCTGCATCTGCACCATCCTTTTCCCGAACATCGTACTGATCGCCCTTCGTGACGACAAGGTCGCCAGCGTCGTTTGTGCGGACATCGAGGCAAGCAATGATCCGGCGAGTAAGTCCATTCTTTTCTTCCGTACGACTCGAATCATCTGATGCGAGGGTTTGCAATTTATCACCGTTCAAGAAGGCGCGGAGGGTTCGCAGACCGGCCTGTCCACTCTTTTCGGGATGGAACTGAGTGGCGAAGATATTGTCCCTCGCAATCGCGCCAATAAACGTTTCCTCCCCATACTTTGCTGTAGCAACTAACCAGCCGTCGCGCTCGAGGACGCCCGGTTCGTATAGCGCAGCATAAGAATGAACGTAATAGTACTTGCTGCTTGGATTGAGACCGTAAAAACTCTGGCCTCCAGAAGAACTGATCCGCGTATTAGTTGCAGAATTCCAGCCGATATGAGGGACACTCTTCGTTTTCGCGTTGAACTTTTGCATCTTCACTGGGACGACTCCAAGGCCAGGAACGTTTGCGTCTTCCTCGGAGCCCTCAAAGAGAGCCTGTATACCAACGCAAATGCCCATAAATGGCTTTCCCGAGGCTATGTGTTGTCTAATGGGTTCTAGGTAACCGCCGCTCGAAAGTTGAGAAAGACAATGGCCGAAATGACCAACTCCCGGTAGAATGAGTGTCTGAAGATTTCTGCATTAGTGGAACATTCAATGGAGAAAAAGAACAAAGAGCATCCCAAGCAGCCAGAAATGTTCATACCTCGACATCCTTCAAATCACTGGGTGATTTCACCCACTCAACATCATATCCTACTTTGTTAATAGCGTTGACCAGGGAGCGCACATTTCCAGCGACGTAGTCGAGCAAATGGACAGTGGGCATAGTGGCAATTGTTCAATTCCGGTCACAACAGTGGTGACCAAGGAGAAGTATAGTAAAACACAAATGTCGAAACCCGATGGCTTGTTCTCGACTTTTATATGACTCGGTACCGTGCCATGATATCTTTCCAACTAACCCCACCGAAGTGGGATAAGAGGGGCTGACTCATACTAAGACTTTTCTTTTCTGAGACTCAAAGGCGGAAAGAGGGGGGATCCGGCCAGCATGCTGGTTGCGTACAAAAGAAAGATTAAAGAGGGATCAAGGCTTGATTTATATAAAGTATCATGTGGGTTCTTGATCAGTACCATAGTCCAAAGACTACTGCCTTTGTGCTTTGGGTACTGCTGGTACAACACGGAATGGAAGTGGGCGCATTGTTTGAGCTGTTTCTTGAATCTCAATCAGCCTAATGGTGTCACATGATGTAGCCTTGCCACTATTGTCCACACGCCTTCCGCACGATCTCAACAAAGAACAACTGTTACTCTTCATTCATCAAGGAGGACCCTTTTGGTCTGTGTACTGCGCCTTGTCGAAATATGCAATCGACCTCAAGTTCATAATCTCCTGCCAGTCCTGACGGTTCGATTACATCTCTTCTGTGTCATTTCCCTCGTACCACTCCTGAAGACAGCCGTAGGCCTCTCCTGGCCCATTTTCAATTCTGTTTCCTCCCCACTTCTCCAATATCTTTCGAGGACCGATCTTTCGCACCTCCTTGTTGGTATATTTATCTCGGCCACAGGATCGAGGCGCTGTCGTATATACCCGGCTGGTTTACGGGATCAAGGGCTACTCGTTTGGCCGAAGGACGTCTCTGGACAATCACTGCAGTTCAGACCTCAACGCCACAGATTTGCTGCTTGTTTTGCAATCGTACCGAACGACTGCAATTTCCTTGTTTGTATGCAGTGATCTGGACCTCCCTGCGCCAGCACCAGTGAAACAAGCTCTTTTGTTTTACCAGTTCAAGCAATATCATCGCCACATCTAAGACTTTGATGTCAGAAGTTTTATACAGAGTTTCCCCTTTGTGCCATTGATCGCAACTTTTATTTGCTACCCTACCCTCTTAACATTTGTTTCTGCTGTTTCGACCTGCTTTACCTGTATCCTTCATCTGTGAAAGTGGTTAAACCGCTTAAGCTTGATCTAATTACTTCACACATCCATTGGACATTCAATTCAATACAATGTCATCCTCTGTTCACTTCAAGTTCAAGTCTCAAAGAGAACCCTCAAGGGTCACTTTTGATGGCACCGGTATCTCTGTCTTCGAATTGAAGCGGGAAATCATCAATCAAAGTAGACTCGGTGACGGGACTGATTTTGAGCTTTCCATCTATAACGAAGATACTGGCGAAGGTGAGACGCCCACGACTTTGTCACTGCATTTGTTTGTTCATACTTGCCCTAAGCTAACGCTCTGACTGTTTCAGAATACGACGATGACACCAGCGTCATACCGCGCTCTACATCTGTCATTGCCCGAAGACTTCCTGCATCACGGCCAGGGAAAGGAGGTGCTGCTCGTTACGTGTCCGGGAAGATGCCGGTTCATTCCCGCAGTGCCCCTCGCAGCGACCAGTCGGTGTTAAACCGGGCACCCAGTTCCACCCAACCGGCCGGCAATGGCGTTCAAGAACTGAATAATGCCCAGACGGAAGAGGAGAAAATCAACGCACTTTTTAATCTTCAGGCGAACCAATGGCGAGAGCAACAACAAGAGATGGCCAAGTATGTATACACTATTCTTCCCGATGGACTCTCATGCTGATGAATGGGTATAGTGCTACGCCCGTTCCCTTTGGTCGCGGCAGAGGCAAGCCTCTAAACATCCCAGACCATCCCCCTCCGCCAGGGTATCTTTGTTATCGCTGTCGCGAGAAGGGTACGTCCAATATTGAACCTCAAAACCGCTTATAGGATATTGACATGCTGTATCATAGGCCACTGGATTCAAGCATGCCCAACGAATAATGACCCGAAGTTTGACGGCAAGTACAGGGTGAAACGGTCGACTGGTATACCTCGGTCTCTACAAACAAAGGTTGAGAAGCCAGAATCCCTCCTGCTCGACGGGTCCAGCGAGGACCTCCGCAACACTGGCGTTATGGTCAATGCTGATGGCGACTTTATCATTACTAAACCCGATAATGCGGCCTGGGAATTGTATCAAGAGAAAGTCAAAGCAACCGCAGCCGCTGCAGCTGAAGCGGCAGCAGCAGAACAAAGCAGGGAACTACAAGCCCGTGGGTTAGAGTGCCCGATTGACAAGCGGATGTTCTTAGAACCCACAAAAACACCCTGCTGTCACAAAACTTACTGCAATGACTGTATAACAAATGCATTGATTGAGAGCGATTTCGTATGCCCTGGCTGTGGGACAGAGGGCGTCCTACTTGATAATCTCACTGCCGATGATGAAGCTGCTTCAAAGATAAAAGCATACGAGGCCGAAAAAGCAGATTCAAAGAAGGAGAAGGAGAAACAGCAGACGCCGCAAGACGACCAGCTCGGCAACAGGGCATCCGATCCCAACGGCGACTCCAGGGAAAGAAAAGGCGGTTCGCCGTCGTCGACGACCAATTCGAAGAAAAGGCCTGCCGAAGAGCCTCCTGTTGATGCAATGACTGGCAACTCAACGCCCGACTCGTCTTTGAAGAAACCGAAATCGGATGAGAGCCAACCGTCAGCTGAGACATCGCAACCGCAAACGAAGGAGGACTCAGCGGGCCATCAGGTACCGCCCTTCAGCCAACAGATGCCTTTTGGGATGCCTGGGTTCATGCCGCCCGTAGGCTTTCCTGGGATGGCTTTCCCTCCAAATGGATTTGGCGAAGGAATGGGGTTCATTAACCCCATGGCATTCCCTCCCAACGGTTTCCCGCCTAATATGGACCCGACCTGGAATCCAATGAACATGATGAACTTCGATGCGCTCCAGAACGGGATGTATAATAATCGCGTTAACGGAGCGGCACTCAATGGCTTCAGTGGACCCGCTGCGTTCACAGGTAATGGGGAGCCCTCAATGAACATCTTTTCGATGCCTCAAATGCCCGGGCCAATGGCACAGAATAACAATGCTGGGTTTGGGCAAGGGGCAGGGGCTGGCAATTTTTCCAACCAACAGCGAACAACATTCAGCACACCCTTTTCCCGCGAGGAGGATTCTCCGTATTTCCGCCAGCCCGTAAATCCTCAGCGACATCAAGCCAGACACCGAAGAGTAAGACCAAGCGATTATCGAGAACTCTAAATACTCCTGCATGATGATCCGACTGAGCTTTGGAGGCTACGTCAAGCCTGTCGTTGGCTGCCTTTCAGCATCCAGAAGAGTCGGTGGCTCTCCGCGATTTTAATCGCATGTTTAAATTGTGCGCGCACGATTAATGTATCCATATACTTGTAAATAGCATTTTGTTCCTAGAACACTAGCGATTCAATACTACTATGCTATGATTTTGACGTTGTGCGCAAAAAGTAGATTCGGGGTGCCTTGTTGCCTGAGGCAATAATATCTTGATCAGATGACAGTCTGGAAAGAGCGGTGCCACCTCACTCATCGCCATTCTCACTGAGAACCTCCTCGAAGCTTGTTGATTCAACCTCGTTTCATCAAATTGTGTCAAGGACTGATAAAGCGTTCGTTTCTCCACCGGTCCGCTTATTCCGACTTCATCATTCTCGCTAGATAGGAAATCCTCGTCTTTGAATAGGAACGCCTCGTCGTTGAATACATCACCGCTATCAGCTACTACTATAACACCCAGCAGCTCGTGCCACAGTCGAAATTCGATCTCCACCATGGCTAGGTTTATGAATCAGAACAGTAGTACATCAAGTAATCTACGACAATTCGACACAGAACATCAGACCACCGTTCTTGCCAGCTGCTACAGTGTTGACACTTCTGCTCCAGTCGTCAATGGCTTTCACTACTGCACTACCATGGGTGCCGGTAAGTAATCAGGCAAGGATTCGAGTTCATCGCTGGTCAAGTATGGTCTACTAACGTTTGAGCTCCCATTAGGAGTACAGTGGTATCCCTGAGGTCCCCTCAGGGTCTAAAACTACCTATTCAAGCCCTCCCCTCGAAATATCGCTGACTTCCGCCGGAAGCAGTTATCCAGTTGGTAATCTACTGGAACAGAGAGTGGAGGCAACGCATACTATCCCGGGAGAGTGTGAGAGGCTCTTCTGTGACAAATTGTCTGCAATTTTCCGTGGTGAGAGGAGATTGGCGAGGCAAGAGTCACTTGGGATAGATGCGTCCCAACGTTGGTCAAATGGCACCAGCTTCGACAATGGACGAATCCAGAGATGGGTTGAAGTGATGGACTATACCAATGATACTATCTACCGAGGATTCGTAGCGACGTCAGGCGGCGAACGGACATTGTTTGTCTTCTTTGAGGAAACGTCACTCGGCCACGGATTGAAATCGGGGTATGCTACCTTGAATAACACCTGCCATAAAACTAACCTTTTCTAGGCTGATCGCATTGTTTGAGCTAGCTTCCGTTCCAGCCTTTGGCTGCTCGCAAATAGTTGCGTGTGTCCCTCGATTACGAGATGGTGCTGAAATTGAACTCACAAGGAATCTTGGGTGGTGTGGGTTTGGCCTGACCACCTTGAAACCATGGGACACTAAAGGCTGTCTTCGTGATAACCCGATAAGCGCCAAATGGCTCTTTCTAAGCTCTGAAGTTTGATTAGCCTACCAGGCTTAACCACTTCACTTGCATTATTCCATTGGCGAATCTTTCCTCTTTTTTTTTTTCGTTTCTTTATTTCCTTTTTGCTTCTGCTGCTTCTGCCTAACTTTTGGGTGACACCTCTTTTCATGAGTACTCAATATGAGATGTGAGAGGATATGTTATTTTGACAAAAAATTGGCTTTTCTACCATGATCAGCTTACGAAACTTCACACTTTGATATATCTACCAACTGTGCATTGTACTTAGTGTCTGCAGCGTCCCTGGCTGCTGGAATTCTGGGAAAGCTTCCACTTATCGGTCACTCCAAATCTTATCGGTGGCTCGACCTGACGTCAGCGTAAAGGAGAGACGGATTTCGTCAGAGTTTGGAATCAAATGGCCGAGACTCCTCTTCTTCAGCTTTGGTAGGTCCAGTGCGACCTAAGAAGATATCGTGTGGCTTTGAGGGCGCAGGAGCGCTCTCTCTTTTGTCATATGATGATTCTAAGACTCCAGTCATGCAACAGTGCATCGTACTCCGCAGATTATTATCAAGAATGGATCCACTCTCTCCCCGACAGATCACTCACCTTAAAAGCAACCGCCAAAGTTGATTAATATCCTCGCGCTCTGAACCATCCATTTTACTTGTGCGACGCCTGGTATAAGCTTTAGAGAACGGCTGTAAGCGACAGCCCTCCATGTTCCCGAAGTTCCTGCTGCCGCCATCAATCTTTCACCCCCAAAAGCAAGATGCGGGGGAGTCAACTACCCCCAGAAGTCTCGAAGCCGGGCTTTTGAGAGACGGGTCTACCAGACATAAGCTTCTGAAGGGCCATACCTCATGCATACGCTGCTCGAACTGTGCCGCTCATCTCTGCTTGTCCTCTCAAATCATTAGCAAGGGATTCACCGGCCGCCATGGCCGTGCTTACCTTGTGTCTGCGCAATCTCCGGTCAACGCGCTGACCAACCCAGCAGACTCCCTTCCAAACACGATACTCCAGGCCCCAGTGTCTCGCAACCTAGTTACAGGCGCACATACAGTTAGCGATATCACTTGCGCATTCTGTGGGAGTGTCCTTGGCTGGAAGTACATTAGCGCGGAAGAGGATTCACAGAAGTATAAGGTTGGCAAGTTCATACTGGAGACGAGAAAAGTCATGACGACGGCTGCCTGGGATTCGGCATCTTATGGTGCCGATACGAAGAGGTCATCTGCCCCATCTGCGAAACCGAGAGGAGTGGCGGCATCGAAAACAGCCTTGGACGACATTGAGTTTGATAGCCAGGACGAGGATGAGTGTGAGGATTTGTTCAGCGGAATATGGAGCCCCGGACTAGCGGTCCGGCGGAGGGATCGGAAACTTGGTCGAAATCATCCTTCTTCCTCGGGGATCACTTATTGCTCATGAGCCTTGAGGTCTGTCCAATCTTACTTTACAGGGCGACGGCTCGTCGGTTTGATGTCATGTTTATCACCAACTTATACCATGCATTGCATTGGCCTATTGCGCCTCTTACCTAGTTTTAGTGATAATACTCAGGGGATACGAGAGAGGCTATCTTCGCATGATGCACATTTGGTTCCATAATCTCATTCACTAGGATCAAGATCATCATCCCCGAGGCTGAACTCACATCTACAACCATAGATACGGCAAAAGGAGAGATAAACGCCTATTTTACAGCACTAACATTTGGGTATACTTAGCAACAAGAGACTTTTAGCATCAAGGTTTATTCGTTGTCCACCCGAACCCGCTTGGATTCACTATCCTCTTTCTCCTCGACTGCACGTTTGGGAGCAGCGGTGCTGGGCTGCAACGACTTGCCGGCAGGTTTCCGCTTAACGAAAGCGGAAAGGTCATTGGCATTTTTTGACGCAGCATCGAGCAAGGTCTGCTTCTCACTGTCGGGCTGACCAATAATTTGTCCCAATATTCCCTTGAGCATGCTTTCGCTCTGCTCTTCGATTCCCTGCTCGACAGATACAGGTGGACGACGTAAATCAAGCAGCTACACATGCAATTAAGCCAGTCGGACCAAATAAAAAGAAAGGCTGAGTGGAAAGAAACTTACCCTCTGCTCCATGTCGGACACGATTTCCTTTACGTTGGTGATTCTGCGCTTCAGTGCTGTTCGCTTGTCTTCATCCAGCGTGTCATCGCTATCCAGTTTCTTTTGCTCCTGAGACACTCTGGCATGGCAACTTTCGATAGCCTTTTCCATTTGAGTCACTGCCTCCATTCTCATTCCTTCATCAACTAGAGCGGGCTTAGAACCATCTGCTGAATCCTCATCATGCTTGACAGCCCCGAACTCTAGAGCTAGAGATAGCTTGTAGTGGCATTCGGCAATTGCTGGGTCCTCCATCGGGAACAGAGCCTGCCTAAGTTCAAGTGCAGACCTCAGATCTGCAACTGCGTCTGTGAACCTCTCGGCCTCTAGTGAGATTTCGGCCTGAAGGTCGTATGTATCAGCTAGATGCTCCTTGATGTCCTTCAACCTAGGGGTAAGTTCTGTGGATTTGCCCTTTCCAGTTTGGTCTTCTGCTGCTTCAAGCTTCTTATGATAGAGAATTCGAGCCAAGTCCAGGACTTCGAAGGCGTTTTCAAAATCATCGTCTTCTTCATCTTCTTCTTCGGCGGCATTGTCCTCGTCCTCTCCATCCGAATCCGTGTCAAAGTTCTCGTCACCCATGAATTGGAAGAGTGGTTTTTTGGCGTTTTCTTGTGACTGCTCTTTCTGGGCCTTAGCCTCCCTCTTTGCGCCGCTCGAGGAAACGACGTTTTTAATAAGGTTGTCGGCAATCGGAGCGGGCGAAGTGGGCTGGTCTGCTGAGTCCGTCTGCGCCTTGCCTGCTACTTTAGAGCCAAGAACATCACTCTTGCTGATAGCGACGTTATACAGGGCTTTGCCATAAGCAAACAATAAGTCCGCGTTGTCTAGCGACATTTCTCCATTCAGCTTTGCCTGAAGCTCGGTAGCTTCGGAGTACAGCTCCGCAGCGGCATTGTAGTCTTTAATAAGATCTTTCGCGGCAGCTCTTTTCATCAAAGCATCCAGCTGCTCTCTGGTACCTTCAGCGGCCACACCTGGGGATGCGCTGGCTTCGTTGACGCCTTGCGCATCCATGGTTCACAGCGTTTGCGGGTGTTCGACTCCGGTATTTTGAGACGGAAAATGTGAAGGATTTGACGAAGACCTCGAAAGAAAAAATAGATGGTCAAACTGAAGAGAAATCCACAGCTTAGAGTGGCGGGTTTGATGGGTAGGAGAGATGTTGAAGAAAAGCCTGGTCAAGGACCAAACGAACGCAAGCATTCAAAAGAGGTTAAATTTCCTTCCGGCGCAGACGCGTGTTTTGCGGCTGTGGCGCGCTTCACTCACGCGTCCACTAAGCTGAGGTCTCCTCAAGACAACTTGTTGAATAGACGAGACGATCAATCTACATTGGTTCTTTGGGTTATTGAGTGGATCAAGTTTGCGTATGTTATCAAGTCTATTTACAATTCACCGACTCTATCTGACCTCCTCTCTCTTCCTAACAAGGTGAAACGAGGGCTATCGAGTCCTTTCAAGTATGAACCAGATCGACTGTTAAGTAGATCAACAGCTCCACGCAACGATGAACTCAGATCCAGTTCCTTCGTCATCGCCAGCATTTGGCACGCCTGCTCATCCTATACGGTTAAACAAGCTCACATCAATTGCAACCCGAGCATCTGTACTTCCCATCCTCCTCCCTGCCGCCACACTTCGGCCTGTCGCATTCCGTACATTCACCAGGAAGCACAATCTGACACTGTCATCACCGGCACTTCAGTCCCTCGCAGCATTTGTTGGCAAGAATTGTGGCTCAGGATGGCGCGAAGAAGGTCTTGCGGAGCGCGTGCTCGACGAGGTAGCCAAGAGCTGGAGGAAGGCTGGGGGTGGTGTCATCGTTGAGGAGGGTAAAGGAGCCTCGCTGAAAGCCATTTTGCAAACATTGGAAGGAAATATGAGTGGCGGCCGAATAGTTGATCCAAGACTCACTCCGAGAGAAGGATCAGGGAAAACAATCCCCACTCTAAACCCCTCCAATTCGATGGTATCGGACGACAACGAGGTGGACGAGTCAGAAGATACATTGGCCCACCCCAGGCATTGGGTTAAAGTCATTGAAGCATTCGAGACTCCAAGGCTGACCTACAATGCTGAGAAGAAGCATTTTGAGGTTATAAAGTTCAAACCTTCTCTATTCCCTAACCCTTCTCAGAAGACAACTCTATTCCGAGACCGATATAACATTGTACATCAGCGCCTACTACGAAATGAATCATTTCAGGTTTCACTGGCCGCTGGCGGCATTCCTGCGTTGCGGCGGTCCGGCTCCTCGTTCGCCAGGAGCCAGGCGTACCGGTTGACGCCTGTTGCAAACCTACTCGGCAGAAGTGGTACATCTCACCTGCTGCTTGGGTTGCTTTCTACATCCCCTACCGGCGAATTGGCACTCACCGATTTGACGGGCAGCATTGTTCTAGACCTAAGTCACGCTCAAATGATTCCTGAAAACGGCGCCTGGCTTTCGCCAGGCATGTTTGTACTTGTCGACGGAGTATACGAAGAGGAGGACAACGTCAGAGGCTCAGCTTTGGGCGGAAATACGGGAGTTGGAGGTGCAATAGGCGGTAGATTCGTTGGTGTCTCTATATGTGGACCTCCCTGTGAGCGCCGAGATACATCGCTTGGGATGAATATCCATGAAAAGAGTCAGGATATCAGCTCGAGCGGGGGTTTTGGATGGGTAGACTTCTTGGGAGTTGGGAGTGAACGTGCCCGAGGGTCTCGAATGAGGCAAATCCAAACGCGAAGTTTGCGAGAGGTTCACGATGGGATGGAGCTACATCGTCGCCTTAAGATCGTTATTATGGGAGAGGTGAATCTTGACAACATGAAGACTCTGGATGCGTTGAAGAAGCTCTTCGGCCAATACAACGAAATGCCCTTGCAGGATCGCCCTGTGATCTTTGTCCTCATTGGGAATTTCGTCCAAAAAGCTATAATCAACGGCGGCGGTCAAGGCGGAAGTATCGAGTACAAGGAGTGTTTCGACATGCTCGCCCTCGTCTTATCTGATTTCCCTTCGTTGCTACAGCGCTCCACGTTTATCTTCGTACCTGGCGACAACGATCCATGGTCTTCTGCTTTCTCAGCTGGAGCATCTTCGGCAATTCCCCGCCACGCAGTCCCCGATCTATTTACTTCCCGGATCAAACGTGCATTCGCAAACGCGAACTCTCAGTTGGACCGGAACCAAATATCAGAGCCTCCAGGGGAGGTTATCTGGACGAGCAACCCATCCCGTATTTCATTGTTCGGCCCTGTTCACGACATTGCTATACTCCGCGACGATATCTCTGGCCGACTTAGACGCAGCGCAGTGAGCGTTGGCGACAGTGAAACAACAGAAATGGAAGACGCTGCTCCAAGTCGCAATGCCACAGCAGGTCTCGATCTCGAAGGAGACGATCGCATGCAGGCGCTAGAGCAACAGAGCATCGGCAACAAATCCAATCAAGCCTATCCGTCCATGGTGCAGTCGGCTCGCAAGCTTGTCAAGACAGTTTTAGACCAAGGTACCATGTCTCCTTTCCCGCAATCATTACGTCCTGTTTTGTGGGACTACGCATCGGCTCTGCAGCTATACCCCCTTCCCACCGCATTCATCCTGGCAGACTCTGAGATTGCGCCGTTTTGTGTGACGTATGAGGGATGCCATGCTATGAATCCAGGGAAGTTTATTCCAGATGGAGATTTATCGGCCATGACGTGGATTGAGTATGACATACTGAAGAACCGTGGCCGCGTGAAGGAGGATCGCTTTTAGAGGGGTCTAGTGGAAGGAGCATATCATCAATGCATATGACTGAATGTTAGGATTAGCTGCATATCATAATAGAGGTAGTTTCGCTCGCCTTTCTAATCGCGAGAGCACCGAGTCGACGGTATGGAGTTGAACGTAAGTACTGGCACAAAGATTAGATCTTTTAGTATGTTGTATCTATTTAACAGGTAATCCACTTTGAATATTTGAAGTACAGTGAGCGATCGTCTATAGGCGCTCACACCTGGTAGGTATGATTAAAATACACACAGCCAACCTCCGAAAGGAACACAATAGTCGCTGAAGTCAAACCCGCTAAACGCAAAGCATAGCCCACCGCAGGGGAAGGGAGGACGGAGTGATAGGACGGGAAGCGTGTTTCTTAGCTGGACGGTATCTGACAAGAGAGGAATGCATCGCCTAATCAATCATGATGATATCCGATTTTTGTGGTGCGTTTCTATTGCCAGGCCCCTGGTTTGCCTCTGCTTGCTTGGGTTGTTGTGCTTTGATGTGGGGCTGGTCGTTCGTCGCTGGAGGAGCCTCATGGGAAGGTTTCGTATCTGAAGATTTCAATGCCAGATCAGCCCTAATAAGAGCGAGGCATTTATCGAGGTCTTCTAGAAGGTTGCCAACACGATCAGGTTCTGCCACGATGCCGTTGCCCAGTCCCCTCCAACCGTCGCCTTTGGAATTATACAGACTATCTTGCAGCTTCTGGCTGGTTGAGTTTCCACCAGCTGTATTTTGAGCAGTAGAAATATCCTTAAAAACCCATACCGGTCGGCTTTGGTGTTGATGGGCTATTAGTTGAAATCGGCAATCTTCAAGTGGGTAGTGGAGTTGAAAAGACTTTGCAGTGCGCACAATGACGTGCAACTTCAATGGCTCATTCTTCGTGGGATTAGCCATGATTTTGTCAAGGGCCCGCATCAGCGGCAGCGTGAAGGACAGTAGTTCTACCATCGTGTCCAGGCCTGCATCGGCGCTGGGGCGATTCAGATTGGACGCTAGGGGACCCTGTATCCTGCGATGAGGATTGAGGTGATTAAACTGTATGCCCAGGCGAAGTTGGAACAAGCGATTCGTCTTAGAAGCGATTCTAACTGGGTCAAGTTCTGTGGAAGGCAAAGGTCCGGATGTGCTAATGTCAAGGCGAGCAGAAAGATCTCTGTTCGGCCCATACGTAAAATCAACGCGTGACAGTGATAAAGAACGAGTCTCTATCCTTTTGCGTTGAAGAGTCTCGTAGATGGATAGCACGCACTCCAACCTCTGTAGGCGTTCGAGAAGAGTGAGAATGATGGGATAACCGGGCGATGCAAGCAGACGAAGTGCAAAGCCTGTACCCGCTTTTGGGAAGGCCAGCGACAGATCATCTTTCGGGATCAAGGCGCTGAAGCTCCGGGATGGGGTACATAGATTGCCATACACAACCATCATCGACGCATCGCTGTGCCGATCCACTCCATGGAAAGACAATCGGACCGTGTTTTTGATGAACGTTTTCTTTCTGAAACCGGAGGGCACAGCCATTTGAAGTGCTTCTGGCAATTCGGATGCTTCATATCGAATCATAAGATCTGGCACCTGAAGGCTTGAACCAAACTTGAGCTTCTCTAAAGGCGGAAAGAACCTCACAACCTGTAGGCTTTCCAAGAAACGAGCAATGGCATATATCGCCAGGGTGCCTGATAGGCAATGGCCAAGGTCGGCTAGTGACGAATAGCCCGTGTCCCGCAAGGGCAATAGGGCGCTGCAAATAGCCTGTGCAGTACTGCCAATGGGGTCAACCTGCGTAGTAGCTTGAACGACCCACCAGTTGTCGCCATCCATACTACTTGTTGCGGCGAGCACCCAGTCACGCTCCCAAAGGCGATGCCCAAAAAACGAGAACCGTAAAACACTGGCCGAGAATATCCTTCGGGGATCAACTTTGACTTTCTTCGGGCTGAGAGATTCAAAGCCAAGCATCTTGACTTTCGACTCGACTTCCTCGATTGCAGCAGCACAGCGAAGCCGTCCGACACGAGCGACAATATCATCAATAGTCGGTCGGTCAACATTGCGATCAGTATCAATTCGCTCTAGTGTATTTGGCGTAGCAGCTAAGATGATCGCCCCTGACATTGGCTCAATCGCAACTCGAAGGCGCCGGGATGCTGTAAGTTGAACATTAAGCTGGCAGTCACCAGGCTCAGTCTTGCTTAAATGAGCACGCAAGGACAATGTACCACTCGAGTAGAGCTCCTTCCCGCTGATATTCGCGAAGACCGAGGAGAGAATATGAGAAATATGTAGAGAAATGACACTTCGAAGGAGACGTTCGGCCGAGAGGTTGTTTTTATCAAACTCGATATCTCCCGAGGGGATTTCTTGTCCATCCCTCATCCAGCGTAAGCCCAGAGAAGGCGACTGTTGGCCATTGGTACTCCCTATTCGGCCGCGGCGCTGAATGCCGATTTCTAACCAGCTTTTTGAGCCCGGCTTAGAGGCCCAGTACTGGAGAACCAACGTTCGATGCAAAAGCTCGATACGCAAAACATTCGACCAGAGCCCCCTCGCCAAGTCTGCAGCCTGCTTAGTGAGTATATTGATTTTATTCGTTAGAACTAGGCTATGCAGCCAGTCGAAGCACCCGATCAATCCGCTGTTTCTGAGCGTGTTGTTGATTTTGAGATCTAACTCGCTAAACATTCGGTTGGCCGGAATCGAAGATGAGGGCTTAAAAAGCAAGCGAATATCGACGAAGAAGAATTGAGATATGACGTCTTCCTCCCCTATAGAGAGATCAAGCTCAAATTCTCCAGGTACGACGAATGTCACCCGGCCATCATGGACTCGATACTGCTGAAAAGGGAGAGGAATGTTCTCATGCAATGCCAACCTTGCGCTAATGATCCTGTTAATCTTTCGCAGCTTTCTCAAAGTGGTCTTTGGTGTTAGAGGCTTCGGCGTTCCGTAGCCAAGCTAGGGAGCGAAAATTAGACGAAGGTCATACCCTGTTTGAGGAAAGTACTCACGTCTGGCATAGAGACTATTTCACCCTTTGACAACACCTCCAGAGCTGTTCTGAGATCAGGATTCGCGACTTGTGCTCGAACAAGGTCCCTCTTCATATCCCCCATCCATTGTAAAGCACCAGCATAAGCTTGGTGTTGCGCACGGATGAAGTTCTGGATATCGATCAATTTACTGACGTCGGCGGCTTGTCGGCTCCATTGTGAGAGCACAAGGAGCTTGATAAAGTCACCGCGTTTATTCTGTGCAAACTCCAACGCGCGCAGCTTTTTTCGCACATTTTCTGGAGATTGGTTCCCGGGAGGTTTCCCACTGGTAGATAGTAGTGAATTAATGGGTTCTTGAGACGATATCTGAATTTCTGCGAGCTCAGCGACCATTTCTGATAGGTCATTCCAGCATTGTTGTACGGCGCGGTTGACTAATTTCGAGAAGGGAAAGAAGCCTTGAGTAATGTGCTCTAACTCGGGGGGCTCTCTGGCGGCGGATGAGAATATTTTCGAACGACTGGCCCCATCGTTCTGATCTGCATTGTTAGCTCGGATACCGTTGGTATACAGCAGCCCATTTGGTGCCTCCGCAGTATGTTCAGGCTGGCCAGTATTCAGTGATGTAGATGAGATGCCATTCATTTGATCCCGCAAGTCCGGCCCCCGTCCACCAATGTTGTTCTGCTCCATAACGATGCCTGGCATAGTCCAAAGACTGTAAGAAGGCTAGAGTCTCAAGCCCTTCCCTCCTTCACCCCCTGCACGGCACGAGATGAGCGACCTGGCGTAGGTGCTGTCTTGAGGCTGAGAAGCCGCGCCAGGGCAGGGAGGGAAGCCGGGAATGTCCTCTGTTGTGTAATGGACCTCAGTGGGACGCCATGTAGCTCAATAGTCAGTGCGCAAAGCGGATAGAAGTCGACGGTTTCTCGAGCGTTGTTTGGAGACCTATTCTGCGAATGCGAGCGCGCGATTGATTGCTATGTCTGGTTGTAGGTTCGGCTAGGAGCATATGAAAGTAACGGGCCAGACTGGAAAGGGCTTCCTCGGCTCAGGGTGTTTTGCGCCTCGCTGGATTGAAGAGATTATATGTGCGGGTTGGCCTAGTAGATGGAGAAAAGATCGGAAGAGCGGACGTCGGGCGCGAGTCGAAATAAGTTATGGACAAAGTTCCCAGCGGGATGAATGGCTCAACACATAATGGTAGAGCCGTTATAGCCTGTTTTAGGAGGTTAGAGGAGAGACTGAGAAAAGCGCCTTGCAGTGTGTTGTGCAGAACCTGGAAGGAATGACGATAATGGAAAGATACATAATAATGCAACTGAATGCATGGAACACAGGATCTCTGATCAGCCTTCGTGGCTGCGGTTAAGTGGTGCCTTGGTGCCTTGGTGCCTTGGTGCCTAGCGCTGTGTTCAACCCACGGGCGCAGAGTCTCGACCAGGCGCGTCACCACCTCTCATCGCCTTGACCTTACCCCAACCTTCAAAGCTCATTACATCCCCTGCCCAACCTTCCTCTCTCTTATTGTTATTCCTGCCACTCTAGGTCCAACTATAATTGAGCTTTCAAGTTTACGCCCGCTGCCAGCTCTTTGGTAGCTATACCAGCGCAATCAACTCCATCGCACTGCACCCATACGATTACATCACTGGGATCAAACTATCAATCAGACTTGTTTATCATTCCAATTGAAAACAAACTTTGGCCTTGTATATCGGCTCTCACTCAAGCTCGTGCGTATTGCGTGCCGTGGTATGCTACCTGATTTCATGTCATACTTTCGCGCCCATTCATGCTTATGCTGAAACGATGTTCCTGCGTACTAGTAGTGATTATGTTCCGAACCTAAAACGAACAAAGCGAGAAGACAGCCGTGCGAACTCTTATGTGACGAGCAGTCTCTGGCCGACACGACTTCCTTTCAACATGCAGGACGATGAAGCGACTGAGCCCAACCTACTTCGCCCACAATACCCGGGCGACGATACCAGGCCAACGAGTAAGAAGGAACTTGCTGGGTGGTATAGTTATGGCTGGGCTGCGGAAGTCTTCACGGTGTGCGCCATGGGTAAGGAATTTGCTATTTTCCGTCTATCATGTGTCTCACAATTCCTAGGGTCATTTCTCCCAATCACTCTAGAGCAAATGGCTCGAGAAAATGGAGTTTTGTTCTCGGACAAGATGACTCCATGCACCGCAACATGGCACTCCCCCGGGTCTTTGCAAGGGGCCTCGAATATAAACACAAGCGCCACTAGTGCAAGCCAATGCGTTGTCTACATTCTCGGTGCCGAGATAAATACTGCGAGCTTCGCTATGTATACTTTCTCGGTGAGTGTGCTGGCCCAGGCATTTTTGATAATCTCGATGTCGGGGGCTGCCGACCACGGAAGCTACCGCAAGACACTACTGGTAGCTTTTGCCGTAGTAGGCTCCGTCTCCACGATGTCTTTCCTACCGGTTACACCAAATGTATATTTGATCGGCGGTTTACTTGCCATCATTGCCAATACATGTCTCGGAGCATCCTTTGTTCTGTTGAACTCCTTCCTACCCTTGTTGGTTCGGCATCACCCTTTACTACTTGAGAATAATGATAGCTACGTTTTTGGTACGCAGACAGATTCGCCTAATGAGAACAGCGCGAGAACGCCACTTCTACAGCCAGGCCAAACTGATGGTGCTACCTCAGAAGCGACTGAATACGCGGCAAGTCCGGTGAAAACATCAAAAGAATTGGCGCTTTCCACACAAATTTCATCCTATGGGATCGGGATTGGCTACATCAGTGCCGTCATCCTACAGTGCATCTGCATTCTTGTCGTTATCAGAACTCACCAGACCACATTTTCTCTACGCTTGGTTCTTTTCTTGATAGGACTCTGGTGGCTAAAGTTCACGATACCCGCAGCATTGTGGCTACGTCCGCGGCCTGGTCCCCCCCTACTGCATGACCAGGACGGAAAGACTGACAGATCGTGGCTTGGTTACATTGCGTATGCCTGGAAATCCCTTGGCCGAACCGCAATACGGACCCGGCATTTGAAGGACATTCTATTGTTTCTAGCGTCCTGGTTCCTCCTCAGTGACGCGATCGCCACTGTTAGCGGAACCGCTGTTCTCTTTGCCAAGACGCAATTGAATATGCAGCCTGCTGCTCTCGGCTTGATCAACGTGATCACGATGGTAGCAGGAGTTTTGGGGGCATTTTCTTGGAGCTATATATCGCGAACGCTAAACCTACGGGCTTCTCAGACCATCGTCGCATGTATTTTGCTGTTCGAGCTTGTGCCCATATATGGCCTGCTGGGGTTTATCCCGGCGATCAAAAACTTGGGCTACCTAGGGCTTCAACAGCCGTGGGAAATGTATCCACTAGGCGTTGTTTACGGCCTCGTTATGGGAGGTCTCTCGTCCTACTGCCGAAGCTTCTTTGGGGAACTGATTCCTCCAGGATACGAAGCATCTTTCTACTCTCTCTATGCTATCACTGACAAGGGTTCAAGTATCTTTGGGCCGACGATTGTTGGATTCATAACAGACCACTATGGTGAGATACGGCCGGCGTTTTTTTTCCTTGCAGTCCTTATTCTCTCACCTCTGCCCTTGATGCTCCTGGTGGATGTGGACCGTGGAAAGCGGGATGCTATCGCTTTATCGGCCGAACTGGAGGAGATTGAAAGTCCAGAAGCGCAAGACTACGGAACCTTTTCCCAATAAGAAGTTCAACTGTTGGATTACCAGTCTCTGGACGCCTACCTGTGCTGAGAACATGAGGGTCGCAACAACCTTCAGGTACCTGATCGATCGATCATTACTAGCATCCATCGGATAGTGCATATTCTAGAGCCATTTTTTAGAAAAACTCCTGCATAGGAATTTTGGTAGATTGGCCATAATCATGCCACTTGTACAGTTTGATATTCAGGGCTTGGAGAGAGGCTGTGATGGACAGAGCTGCAGGGACCACCCTGCGCGGAGAGACTGAGAATGATGAATGGATGCGCGCGTATCACAAATCCACTAATGAGCGATCGAGTGGATTGGCCCCTTGCGAGGTGGGCGGACCCAGCCCAGTCAGCTTATTTTGCGAAGTGCAAACTGGCCTTAACTCTCCCCCCATACATTATCCATTCCCCCTTCAGACACCGCAGTTATATAACTGGCCACCTCAGCTGTTCTGAGCTATTTACTCTTCCTTCCCTTCTCTGTTGTCTTTCCTTGTTCACCCCAATCATTTTTGCTACAGGAAGGTTTTGACCCGTGCAGCCGGCTTGCACTCTCATACTTTAGCCCATTATCACCAACACTAATCCGGCAACATGCGGTCCTTTGCTCCCTGGATTGTGACCCTGCTGGGAGCTGCTGGAATTGTTTGCGCTTCTTCTGAGGCTCCGGCGGCGGAAGCAGAGTCTGACGTTATCTCTCTGACCAAGGACACCTTTAACGACTTCATTGCCGAGCATGAACTGGTCTTGGCCGAGTTCTTCGCCCCCTGGTGTGGCCACTGCAAGGCTCTGGCACCCAAGTACGAGGAAGCCGCCACTGAGCTAAAGGCAAAGAACATTCCTCTTGTCAAAGTGGACTGCACTGCGGAGGAAGATATTTGCAGGGAGCAGGGTGTGGAGGGCTACCCAACACTCAAGGTTTTCCGTGGCGCCGATTCCGTGAAGCCCTATCAGGGAGCTCGACAGGCAGAGGCGTAAGTACTCTTTTCCTCTGCAACGCCTTTACTTTCGGATGCTGACTCGGCGCGCGCTCCAGGATCGTTTCTTATATGGTGAAGCAGTCCCTCCCCGCTGTCTCCACCGTCACCGAGGAGAACCTCGAGGAATTTAAGACTCTGGATAAGATTGTTGTTGTTGGATACTTCGCTGAAGATGACAAGGCCTCCAATGAGGCTTACACTGCTTTCGCTGAAAGCCAGAGAGACAACTATTTGTTCGGATCCGCCAAGGATGCTTCAATTGCCAGCGCCGAAGGCGTGAGCCAACCGTCAGTTGTTCTCTACAAGGATTTTGACGAAAAGAAGGCTACTTATGAAGGATCACTCGAGCCTGAGGCCCTCCTCAGTTGGGTCAAGACTGCCAGCACTCCTCTCGTGGGTGAGGTTGGTCCCGAGACTTACTCTGGATATATCACGGTACGTGGCCGAAGCCCGTCATCTTGCAGAATGCTAACTATCATGTTAGGCCGGAGTTCCTTTGGCCTACATCTTCGCTGAGACCGAAGAGGAGCGTACCAAGTTCGCCGAGGAATTCAAGCCCATCGCAGAGAAGCTCAAGGGTTCTATCAACATTGCAACCATCGATGCCAAGGCATTTGGTGCTCACGCTGGAAACCTCAACCTCGACCCCAAGCAGTTCCCCGCCTTTGCTATCCAAGATCCCGCCAAAAATGCCAAGTATCCCTATGACCAGTCCAAGGAAATTTCCGCTAAGGACGTTGGAAAGTTTATTCAGGACGTTCTGGACGGCAAGGTCGAGCCCAGCATCAAGTCTGAGCCCATCCCTGAAACGCAAGAAGATGCTGTCACAGTTGTTGTGGCCCATTCTTACAAGGACGTTGTGATTGAAAACGACAAGGATGTCCTTCTTGAGTTCTACGCCCCCTGGTGCGGGCACTGCAAGGCGTAAGTTGCGGATTCAATCATGGGTCAGATCTAACCAGCTAACAATATTTCTATAGTCTTGCTCCGAAGTACGAGGAGCTGGCCCAACTGTACGCCAGCAACGAAGAATTCAAGTCCAAGGTCACCATCGCCAAGATTGACGCCACCGCTAACGACGTTCCGGACTCCATCACTGGATTCCCCACCATTAAGCTCTTCCCTGCCGGCTCCAAGGATGCCCCAGTTGAGTACTCTGGTTCCCGCACCGTGGAGGACCTTGCAAACTTCGTTAAGGAGCACGGCAAGTACGGCATCGATGCCTTCATTGCTGAGCCTGTGGAAACTGCTGAGGAAAAGGATGATGCCGCTGAGGAAGCTGAGGCTGAGCCTGCTCCTGAGAAGCCCGAGCATGATGAATTGTAATTTCTATATGTCGGTTAGCGCGGACAATCCTCCGATATTATGAGTTTGTATCCTACCCTATGTAACGAAATGATTAACTTTGTCCTATTCAATATGCCTTTTCTGATCAATGCATCCAAGAAGTATGATTCAAACAGGGCTTCTTTACAAGTATGGAGCAGGTTGCACAAGTTGAGATTCTGATTTAAAATCGCAAAAGCCAACGCCGTGCCTTCGGTACCCATGTAAAACCCCTGTGGACAGAAAATACCTCAAACAAGGTCAACATCCCAATCTAGAATACTAAAGCCGAAATGCAAATGATAACCGAAAAGCGAAACAGAAACAGTCCCTTTAAGGAAAATGTACCCGAGCCGTCATGGCAAGAAATAGAGAGACGAAGTAGATAGTTCATGAAGCCCCAAGCGCAGTGTCGTCAATTGAAAATCGAGTAACACTAATCAGGATTTAGATGAAGATTCATCGGTGGCGGCGGCGAGCGCTTCCAGTGCATCGAGGTCTTCATCAAACTCGTCATCGTCTTGCGTGCTTGTGTTTGCCTTCGTTGCAACCAAGATCTCCTTTGTCGACTCGGTCACTGTTCGGTTCCCATCCTGCGAAGGCGAGGCTGTCGATTTATTTACTACCACTGACGAGCTCTGAACCACCGCTAGAGGCGCTGTAAATGTCTTCTCTTTCGCAGCAGTTAAACTCCAGTCAATGACTCCGTCGGAACCGTATCGCTCAGCCAGCCACTCGTTGCACTTTTTGAAGTGCTGGTTTTGAAGCTATATTAAATATCCTGTTAGTAGCTGGAAAAAGCCCGGGAACACCCGTTGTCAGTAAACGAGTTAATACGTACAAAGCCTTTATGAACACTTAGCGGACTCGGGTGAACAGATTGCAAGATACAGTGTTTGTCGGAATTGATGCCCGTAACCCGCTTTCCAGCGTGTGCACCCCAGGCCATAAAAACTACCCCGCGGGTCCGAACACGTGTTACGATATCGATTGCCTTCTGGGTCAGTCGCTCCCAGCCCTTATTAGAATGGCTCGCCGCCTGGTGTGCTCGGACGGTGAGCGAAGTGTTGAGAAGCAACACACCACGTTCTGCCCATGGTGTCAATAGGCCGCCCTTGTTTGGAGGAATTTGAAATGATGGGTAGTCATTTGTGATCCCACGGTATATATTGACGAGGGACGGGGGCGCAGGGGTCGGTGGGCGAACTGAGAATGCTAGGCCGTGTGCCTGGTTGTAGTTGTGGTACGGGTCCTGGCCGATGATGACTACCTTGACGCTGTGTAGCGGAGTATGACGAGACCTAGAAGACGTACATTAGACATACAGGAGGGTTTGAGGTACAAGGATGCCGCACCAAGAATATATATCCTCCTCAGGAGGGAAGACCGTAGCCGACTGCTTCTCTTTCTGGAGGAACCGTTTCAACGCCAGAAACTCGGGTTTGACAATTTCCTCCTTGAGATGCGCAAGCCAACTCTCATCCATAGTGTCAATCTCAAGCTGGAGAAGCTCCTTCTGCTCGGCAGTCAATGTAGCCACCCATTTCTGCTTGTTGAAGCTTGAGGAAACTCGGGCAGGGGCCGCTGTCTTTGTCGTCGCGGTGGCCGTTGGGCTAGATTTTGGTGCACCGAAGAAAGAGGTTATGCTACCATTGGCCTTCGATTTTTTCGCGTCGGCTGCTGGGGTCGATAGGTGACCAGCTCCTCGCTTTAAGCTAGGACTCGCCATGGTATGTTGCCTCCGCACGCGGAGGAGGATCTGTGAGCGGAGGCGAGTGCTGTTTCGCAAAGCAGGTTATCGAATCGAGAACCAATGTTGCTGGCCAGTTTATTCCAGAGATACCTAGATAATAGTGTGTGGGAAGGAGATATCAAATAAAACCTCAAAGACAAACAGCGTTGCTGTGAAGACCCGCCTTGACAGCTCACAAAGCCTCAAATGGATCGGCTGCGGAGAACGCGTTTGGACGCGTTTGGACGCGCCCCAACCGCGTTCATAATTACATCGTACTCCAGAGGAGGGCTTGGCGTCTCCTTTTAAGGTTTTCGGTTCTGAGCAGAGCAAATTGGAGAACTGATCGCAAGGTATGATCGCAAACCCCATGTAACCAGCAATCACTTCAATTCCAGAGGGATATGTTCTCCTTAATAGGGGAAAGAAAGAACATTCATTTACAGTACTGAATACCACGCTCATTGGCGATCATGGTAACTTATGGGTTGAGAGCCGACAAGTTGCCCGCATGTGGGGTCTCTGATTTTCAAGACTCAAGTTGCTACTACTACACTACTACTACCTAGTTGATCCACCACCAGGACCACAGCAATTCTCTGCTCTGATGGAGCTCACATGGCTGGCGGACACCCCGCAGTCCCGGCGCCGAACACGGGCACTGCGCGCATGTTCTAGCTGTCAGAAGAGAAAGGTGAGTGACCTATCTCTCCAATTCGACGAACAGCGCTAAAAGAGATGGCAGAAACGCTGTCGGCATCTGCGTGACGAACATCGAGCCCCAAGCCAGGTTCTGGAGACTAGGAGACTTGATTCGACTGCAGAGGGGGCCAGAGCTCCCAACCAAGTGCAAGCCCCCGCTCAAAGGATAAATGGCCGCGCCGCTTCTCTACCCGGCATATCACTCATAGAGCGGTTTGTAGGAGATCTTAACCCGGAAGCTGCTATTAGGGAGAAGGTAGATGCACCGGACGGTGCTCACCATAGGGATCGTGTCGGGCTCTGGATCAATACTCCTGCCCATGGGGGAAATGGAGATTTATCCGATACGTCAAGCTTCCGGGCAGAAATTCTTCCAAAAAACGGATCTGATACTGGTTCTATCTTACATCAACGATATCTGTCTGCTCTGAAAGCGTGCGATCGTCTTCCTCGCTCGACTCTAGTCCCATTGGCCTCAATTTTTTTCTCCATCGTGAACCATATCCTACCTATTGTTGATCGAGAGTTGTTTAACCCAGGCTCTGCAGAGGCAGCAACGTCTGTCTTCTTGGAAAGAGCTGTATGCCTCGTGGCAGCCAAAGACAAAACGGCTAGCTCACATCTGCGTCTGGTTTGTGATGGCCCCCTGTTGACTGCCCGCGAGTTCTGCTCCGATCTATACAAAGGGCTCGTTAGTGCTATGGATGCTGCGCTCGAGCCAGATAGGGTGACTAGAATTCGCATATTGGCTCTAATGTCCCTTCACTCTGAGGGCTATGAAGGTACTGAAGCAGCCTCGATGCACATCTGCCAGGCGATTCACCAAGCACAGACAGCGGGCTTACATCTTGAACGGCCTAATCGCCAACCAGGAGATTCCTTGACGAGTCTATTCTGGTGCCTGTGGACGCTAGACAAGATTCATGCATCTATAGGTGGTCGTCCGGTACTTCTCGCAGATCGGGACATTGGTATCACAAGGCCTGAACCCAGATCAGGTGGATTGAAAACTGCCTTTGATGTTTGGTTTGCGCTCTCTGAGTTGCTATCAACTGTGATCTCGTTTTATAGGCCGTCTTCCGATGGTACGACGGGATGGGAGACGGACTATCCAAGCTTTGAAGAGATCATGGGGTATCCTGTTCGAGCGGATTTGGATTATGAAACACTGGGTGAGTTTTTCAATAGCTCAGCCTGACGTTGAGGTTTTCTATCTGCCTTTCATGCCTAACTTGGGTTATATGATTTAGGAATTTTGGAGCTCTATTACCACGCCATTGGTATTTTGTCATGCAGATACAGGCCGTCTCATTGTCCTGATGGTTCGAGACCCTCATACACCCGCCAAGGTCTAGCTGCCGTCCGGATATATTCCATCGTGGCGACTGAATGTGCTCAATCACTGCCTCCTCTTCCAGTTGTTCCATATGCAGTTGCCTTGTCCATGGGTGTTTCATACCAACAATTCCGCAACAGCAAACTTATAACTCACCACACTCGTGCAAAGGCTAGTCTCGACGCTTGCTGTGCTCTACTGGAAGAACTATCCGCTTATTGGTATTCGGCCGAAGCGATGGCACGTCTGGGAAGAAAGGCACTACGTCAAATCAAAGGGTTGGCATTTGAAGATGGAAAATTCGGCCACGGTCCTCCATTATCTACTGTTGACAACAACAATCATGACAACAGCACATCCAGCATGACAGACCAGGAATTACCGCTGGCTGGCCCTTCAGTTCATTCCAACGAACCCCATCACCCTTCGGAAAGCGAGTGGCTACCCTCAATGACGCCCGCGCGACCTGTGCCACTAATACCCGACGAACAGCACAAAGATCTACAAAACTCCGTTAGTGAAGATGGCTTTGCTGGCATCGATATGCTCTTTGACGACTTCTTGGATCTGTCATTACCCACAAACTTCTGGGATCCTGTCTTTTTTTCGACGGAGAACGACCACAGCGTTTGATTTAGTGTGGAATTACTAAATGATAAGTAGGTAAAGAACAGCCGCGGGGTCATCTATCAGAGGGCGAAACTTTCAAGAGCCAGGGACCCGAGTATCTGGCTTTGCTAAGGATACGTTGTACAACTGACTTTCGACGATGAGGCTTCCATGGAGGCAGCAGGCTACATAATCAGCTCGAGTTGGCGCGCCTCTACATTTCTCATTTGCAGACGACCGCAGCGGCTGAGTCTACGCTGCCGATCGTTATCTTGGGCCCTCGATTGCTTTGTTCATCGACATCGTGGTCTCACTAAGAGATCTTCACGCCTTCGTCTTGTCAATTAATATGTCAGCGACACACGTCTCGTGTGGCTCTGAGTATTGAGTGGGAGGGTGGAGTTTTGATTGTGCTGAAAGCCTGCAAGGAGATTCCGGCTGCGAGTCTGCGACTTTAGGACCTAGACCTTGATCGGCCCAGTGGGCATCGCGTGGCCCGGCGGCCGAGTGCGTGGAAAAATTTACCGTGCCGAGCGCGGCGTCCTACCTAAGGAACATCATTACTGCATGGATCGATACACCACTAAACGTGGATACCGATTATCTTTCTCATGATATAATATCATATCTATTATATGCTCTACAGAGACGCATAGCAGATAGGTAGCGTCGCCTGTTCCAGAAAGAGCAAGCTGGAACGAAGTGCATCTGTCATTTGGCAATGCCCAAAATCCAAGTTCTTCATCTGACACTTGCCACGTTGATGCTGATTGGCCTGAACCCCTGATTCTGGCTTGTTCATTAGACTGCACAACGCATCGTCTCTAGATCATGGATTTATTTCTTGATTCCCCACTGTTAGCCTCGTTTCTTCTTCAAATTTATCCCGTTCTCACACCCCTTAAAGGATCTATATCACATCTCAGTCCCGCACCTTCGTGCTCTACCCGTTCCCCCAGTAAACTCTCAGCCCTCGCTTCTAACTGATCGAGTCTGGCTTAACAATCCAGAACGTATCTATTCATACGCTACCGACAAGGCGCGCGACCACTCCGTGGCAGGCGCCTCTCACCATCGTTATATCACTCAAACAAGGAATGACTCGAACGCGGTGTCTGTCGATCTAAAGCCGACCCTTTAGAACTCTTGGCTCATTCAGCGCATCGCTACCAAACGCATATACAAATCATCTTGTCTTATGGACCATTTCAAAACTTTCACCAAGCCTGATGGAGCTTGAAACCATATCGTCCCATTGGCATCGTCATCGTCTGCACAAAGTTGCTAGATCTGCTACTCTGGTTGGCTCTCGGTAGCCTGCAGAGTGTTACACAACACTACATGGCGTCTGTATCACAGGGCGAATCACGTTGCAGTAGCGATTTTATTCCTCTCTACATAGAAGGATCTTATGCCAGCCAATCCTTCTCTTCCGCTGATACGGAGGAAGACCAACTGTCTGGCTCGAGCGACGAAGAACAAATCGGCATCGCTACAGCTCCGAGACACCCGATTCCGGAATTACAAGGTCCTTTCGAAGAGTCTATCACCGAGTCTCTACCGGGGACAAACAAAGGCTGGACAGTTGATCTTGATGCTCAGTCGCGGCGCAGAGATCTCCTTGAGGGCTCTCAGTATGAGCGCCTCTGTGGCCGGAAATGGCGTCAGAGAACTGGCGAGAGGTTGGCGCTCCCTTGTGCTTCGGCTGGTCGTTTTTGATTACTTGCCTAACCTCTTATAGGTATCATCCATTCTGGAAGCTTAGTGCACAAATGTCCTTTGGCATTCATTTACTCGTAAAGGGAACAGCAAAGTCGAATGCAGCGGTCCTCAACATTTTGCAGGCTCATGTCGACGAAATGGATGGATTTGTCTCCAGAACCTCGGAGGATTTTCTGATCATACAAGTTGACTTACGAACTCGTATCCAATATCTAAGTCTTCCTCTCGAGAACCTGGATCTTTTTGACGAGATGTTGGTGGATCGGAATTTCCGCATGGCTATGATTGACTATAACGACAAAATCGACTTGGCGATTCAGAGATTTACCCTAGCTATCAACGACGCTCTTAAGGATATGCAAAAGGGAAAGGAAGCAATAAGTGGGCTCTGGCAATACCTTAGACGGCCGATGGAGGATAACATTCCATTGTCAAGCAATTTGGCTGCTATTTACGACTCTATGCTGGCCAATACAGAAGGTTGGAACTCGGCGTTTTCCAAGCTTCGCAAGAAGGGGACGGCTCTCTTGTACGCCATGACCCAGCTAGGCCGTGCCATTGCCGAGATGCAGCGACGTGTAGGTGTGGCAAGCAGACGGGAAGTAGTAAGTACTTATCTCTCTATCTCGGCGCAGTTTCCATTTGAGCACTTCCCAACTCCAGACAGATATCGTTTGTTCCCCCGCTTCCGACCCCTCAAACCAAGTCCATTCGAGGCTTTCTCGATCGAGGAGTCTCCGTATACATATCGGATTCGTTACCTGCGGAGAAGCCCCTACCCCAGGATCCGGTCTTGGCCCGAAATCTAGAGTCTCGCCATCGCTCCACTTTCAGCAGTTCAGGCAGACTCGCTCACCAGAAGAGTGTGCCCAATCTAAGAGCCTCGAGAGATACGTCTGGGGTGAACGATACATTTGAGCGGGCCAAATCTGTCAACGGCGCTCGGGCCCCTTCAAGGGGCTCTGATTCAGGCCCAATATTCCCGAGACTCCAGAAGACGATCAGCAAGCGGCTCTCCAGAGCCAAACTCACAAAAGTGACCGTAGAGGAAGTGCCGGAGGAAACGATAACACGTCCCTCCACGTCTGGTTCGCGAACTCTGAAGTCTTTCAAGAGGAGCAGACACGTGGAACAGCAGCCGCCGCCGCCGCATCAGACACAGCAGAAACCTGCCCTGATTTCAAGACCATCAACCCGCTTAAGACGGCCGGGTACGTCCCATACTTCAGCCAAGGGCGAAACCATGAAAAGCCAATTACGGCAGTACTTCATGTCCGACCGGGTGCTTGACGCATGGGAAAGCGTAAGAGAAAGAGAAAGGAAGGCCGGTCAATCTGAGCCCAAGAAGGATGGCCTCTGGAGCATTTTCCAGGCCAAGTCAGGGACACGGTCCGGCGAATTGCCAGGGAATCCTTATCAGAATGACGTACAGAAACAGATGGCGTGGCTGGAAGAGGAAACTAAGAACCTCAACACCTATTCACTGAAGCCCAAACAAGAGGGAACCGGACCCAAAGTCCACACGATATCGGACAATATGAGCATTCGGCAGGGTCTCGATAGCCAGGAAAGCCACTACGGAGGTATCAACTATCTCAAAGCCCTAGAGGCAGACGATTCCATCATTACGGCTCTTCCTGCCTTCCCTCTTCCTCCGGTGAGCAAGTTGAAATACAACTCTTTTTCTGTATCTCCTAACAATTCTCATAGATCGGTCATATTCCAGCAACCAGCAAAGGTCCTAGCTGAAGAGCATACATGCCAGTACATGAATTACAAATCAGGCTTGACTGAGTTAATATGATAGTATTTGAGGGACAATCACAGGTTCTCTGTCGTACGCTGCCCACCAAGGAATGTCGGCCTCTCGCAACAGATCTCGCTTTCCAACCCATCTTGAAAGGCGGATAAATTGTATATGAGACATAGATTATCATGAATTTCGGCTTGGGGCCATGATGCTAGGCCGAGAAAGTCGACTGGCGATGTCCGTTCCATAAGGCTCATAAACATATATATTTTTGTGATTCCGAGCACTTTCTTTAGATCTCAGCTCCTGGCCAAAAAGCCAAGGCTGTACTATGAATGCAAGCAACTTCCCCGCCTTTCGCACTTAACTCTTGTCTAGCTTTGAAGCATAGGACACATACTTTCTCCCAACGATGACCTCGAGGCCAGGTACCTCCTACAACCAACACCCATAGAACTGATAGCACTACTACAAAAAAACACTCTTGCAACATTACTCATTCTGATATTTCGAGTTACAGGAACTCTTATCTCCGAGCTACAGGTACATTCTGAACAAACCATAAGGAAAAAGTAAACCGAAAAATCTTCCCAAATGTGTCCTTTCCAGCCTGTCCAAAGCGCACACAAACGCCAAATAATCAATTACACTCCAGCAGGACACCCTACTACTACGGCGGTCGAATTCTCAACCATACACACCTAATAGATGAGGAGAGGACGTATAAGAGGGAAGAACGACAAAACATATAGGGCAACGGCAATGGCAGCAAGGCACAAATCGAATCTACTTGCAGCGTTTCTCCACGATATTCGGGCCGTGCTCGTCAAACTCCTTCTTGGAAATCCACATCTGGTGGAACGTACCCAGACTAGCGAGAATGCTCCCTCCGATCCAGGAGCTGAACCTGCGCTCTGACGTGTTTCCCGGGGCGGAGATACGGACACGCGGGCCTGGGTAGAGCTGCGTGAGTTCCTGGTTGAGACGGTCGGTGAAGCCGTACAGTAAGCTGGAGGCGCCTGTTACGACGACGTTGGAGAGGAGGTGAGGCCGGATGTCGACATCAACGCCGTTCAGTGCCGCCTTGATGATCTCAGGGACTGTCTGGGCTTGTGTGGGCGCGGGGAAGAGGGATTCGGGGTCTTGTATGGCGGCTTTGGCATCGAAGAGGGACTCGACGACTCTGTAGCGGTCGACGCCGAACACTTGGTTGTAACCATCGGGAAACTCGAAGGGGCGGCCGGGGGAGCTACGGGCCATTTCTTCATTGGGGACGCCGTTGGGCCCCGTGGCCGAGAGTTTGGTAGGACCGGGCCACACCTGCACGACGCATTCCTTGAATTCGGAGAGTGTTCGTTCCTCAAGGAAAGTGCGGTAGGATGTGTCGGGAGCTCGCTCTGGAGGGAAGGTCTTATATTTGACTTGCGGAGGTTGGCCAGCTTCGACGGCTGTCTTTGCCGAGATGAGATAGTGTGGTGTGATAGTAATGGGCTGGGGTGAGTTTGATTTGAATAGAGCGCGAATTTGAGAGGAGATGTAATCTCCGCCCAAGGGCGAGTGCTGAACCCCGCGCTTGAGGATCATGCCGTCATGAACTGGCGTTACAGAGATGTTGGAGGCGCCAATATCGACAACAAGAGCAGAAGCTTTGCCAGCAGCAAATCTGGAACATCCAGTTAGACGGGCTCAAAGTGGTATGGAGAGCCATGACTTACGCCGCAAGAACACCATTCCTCGCCAAGTAGAATGCGGGGGTTCCCCATTTCTCCATGGCAATCTCGATTGTCTTCTCGCGAGCCTTTGTAGGGTTCCAACTTGACTCAGACATCAGAAGAGGACTATCTGCTAGTGGCTTCTCTTCAGATTCAACACCCTCCATCTCAGATACTGCCTCCCCCTCAGGCACATCATTCAACCCGTTATGTAACGGGTTGCCAGGCTTCGCACCTGTGAGTTTCGACGTAAATGAGTACTCCCACACCTTTTCGGCCATGTCCCAGTCTTCCACGATGCCATCTCTGCCAATGGGGTTGTGGATCGACAGTCCCGGCCGTGGAGTGACAAAAACATCATCGCCATAAATGAGCTTTTCCTGCCCCTCGAAAGAGTATTTCCCGTAATACGTCGGAATCAGGGATTTCGGCGTATCTTCGCCTGCGAAGCCAGCGCGCGTCGTTGAGAACCCGGGATCTAGGACGATGGCCGAAACCTCATCTGAGGGCGTTGAAGAGGGTTAGTATTTGCGCTGAGGGGTATAAAAGTATAGCCTGAGGGTTTGCTTATGGCAATTAATTAACGTCACATACCTCCGCCATACTCGGTAGCTGAGGGTGCTTGGTTGGGAGTGTTCATTGTCAAGCTTGAAGTAGCGCAAGGGCAAGAGGTAGGTTGGGACGATTTACGGGCAATGCAATCGATGCGGATCAGAGCTTTATCGGGATGGGAAAGTGGTAGAGAATATTAGAAGAGGATCAAAGGTCGGTGTCTTGCAGAGACCAAGCGATTGGAGGCGATAAGCTGGAATGCTGCTCGTGGTGCGGCGGTGGGAAATTCACAAGCAGCTTTTGGCGCGGGTCAGATTTGATGATTACTACACCTGACGTACTTTCATCTTGTCTACATGCATCCGATTTCCACCTCCTTCCCCTCACAACGAACCTCGTGCTCACTGCGCATAAATGATTATCTTCTATCATGGACACACAAGTTGATCCAAACCAGGAAGTTCTTTTTCGTCCATTTAAGAGAAGAAAGTTCCAGCGACGCCGGCCTGACGACACAGAGAGTCAACCAGAATCGCCAGCGTCAAACGACGCTCCGGTAACTCAGGACCCTCAAAGCGATGTTGAGACTATACAAACAGCCGACGCACTACGTCTTCGACGGCTCCAACGCTCTCGGAAGGGTGGCATAGAGTTCTCAGCTACTTCGCGACCGACCGCCGGCCAAGCGAACAAGACGTCACTTCCTACGGCAATAGCGGAGGACACAGAGGGCGACCGGCTGCGAGCCATGTGTGATCGCTTCACAGCGCATACCGGGCAGACAGTCGATGTTGACAAGCACATGTACGGAACCCCGTCGCACTACCTTTGATACCGGCTGTGCTTTGCACTTACTGCAATGGAGACTAACAAGATAAGGATGGACTATATAGAATCCGAACTGGCTAAACGCTACCGACAGGGACTACCGGGAGATACACCTGGTCTGGATGCAATTGACCGGCGCGCAGTTGACAGCACACTACCCACATCCGAGCTTCCCCAGCGTGAGCCCGCCGCTCTCGGAAAGCTTCACGAAATAGATCTTGGACAAGAGGCCAGGCTGCGGAATATTGCTCGAACGGAAGAGGCGACGAGGAGACTGAATGGTGATGATGATGAGCTGTCCACCAGCCGCTCCCCCAGTAAGCCACCTCGGTACCGAAAACGACGGACAAGCCAAGATATAATGAGGGACCGATTAGTCGAGGAAGTTCTGCGGGAGAGTAAGCGTAAGTGCACCCTGGGACCCATAAACACACTCTGGGATTTGTTGATAACCCATTATCTCGCTAGTGGATGTTTACGACGAACCAGAAGGAGAGGAAGCGGCAGCGGACGACTTGGCGGCCGATGATAGAGTTGCGGAACAATTCCGACGAGAGTTTATGGATGCTATGCAGTCCCGCAGACGAATGCCTCGGACGAAGCCAGCGACAAAGCAAACGGAAGCACCGAAGGGACCAAAACTTGGAGGCAGCAGGAGTGCCAGGGCAGCAATGCGCGAAATGCAAGAGAAGGGGGCCCGGAAATGACCCCCCGATGAGTTGTCCTCGTCCAGGCAGGTGGCGTATGATTCAATATCTCCCGCGCGCTGAACTTTCGAGCTGTTCGCGACTCCGTCCAGAATAATAAGGATGTCTCTAATCGTTCTCTCCCCATCGAACCTCTCGACGGGAGCTTCAAGAATTTGGCTGTTTCGAGCCCTTCATTTCTTGTCAGGGCAAGCGAGAGGAAAACCAGCGCCAGGGGAGCACTGCCAGTTTCCCCGATTCGAGGAAAGGGGGCCGTTGATGTATGGACACAGTTCCAACTGACTTTGTGCAGAGAGGTCACACAGTTCAGGGGTAATGAGGAATCAGAGAACGGGAAGCCACCACTATTCTTGTCTCGAGTTAATTGAGTGGATCATTCTTTTCAATAGCAAATGTGACTGTACGGAGTACCCCAGTATTCTTGGTAAACACACCAACGAGCCCTAGGGGCCTAGATAGCTATAATTAACGAGAGTCAAATAGAGATGCTAATTAGACTCGGCTCGAGTCTCGACGTTTCGTCCAAAACTGGGCATTATTGAGTGAGTATGGGCGTCGAAGTTCGGTCTGGCAGTGGCCTGGTGCTCAGTAACTAACGTAATTCCCGGGCGATCGGCGCATCCCAGTCGGTCGGCGCACCTTCAAAAAATATATAATACTTGATGAACTTGAAGCTACTCCTAACAACGCAATCCTTAATATTTTTAAATAAACTAAGTTTTATGGTGATTAGGATATTAACTTCTAATATACCCCTAAATTTAATATTTAGAGTATATTAGTGGAGCACGTTTTCAGGCTACTAAAGGTTATAAAGTAGATATACTTAGATCCTCCCCTAGTATATTTAAAGTATTATTTCTTAATATAATAAGGTCCCGTGCTTCTAATACTTAAAGGCCTTAATTAGAAGATATATATTATTTAGATTAACTTACTTTTAGCTTCTAAACTTAACTCTCTACACGTAAATTAGTTAATTCCTTTAGATCTATTATAGTATTATAGATTACTAGTTTATAGTCCTTTATAAGTTTATCTAGCGCGCGCTTTAATAGTATTATAGGACTATAAGAGCCTTTATTTATAAGCTTCTTAACTAAGGAAGCTTTTTAATATAGCTATTAGGGGTTTTTTAGTATTATAAGTATAGAGGAGGTCCCTAAATCTAAACCTTTATAAGGGGGGGGGTTCCTTATGCTACGATCGTATCTCCAAGCTACAAGGCAAAGTTGTAGGTGAGAATTAATCAAATTCTAAGCATGAAGAAGAAATAAAACTAATTATAATAGTTAATAAAATATTTATTATGTGGCACTTAGTTAGTAAGTAGTAATTACTTACCTAATTTCCTGCCTAATTACTAAGGCTGTTTACTAAGTATTAATATAGTAGCTATTATATAACCCCTAGTTAAATTACTAGCATGTCCTTAGGCTAGGTAAATTAGCTAATCTTATATCCTTTACTATTTAGCATCTCCTACCTCTCTAGGTGTAACTTAGTTCATGGTGATTACTACCTATAGGCTAGGTAGTATTAAGAGTCTTAATCTTTACCTCTAAAGCACCTACTTATTTAAGGTTATAGGTAATTTTATTACTTATAGGTCTCTTACTATAGGTATAAATAGGCTACTTCCTCTCTTAGATTCTTACTCTTTCTTCTCTATATCTTATCTAACTTTTTTTCTTTTAAGGCTAGTGATTTTTCTATCTTTACTAATTTTCTTTAGTAATATAGGGCTAGTAATATTTCTATTACTAGCTAGGGTACTATATTATTTAGCCTTATAGCTAGTAGCATGGCCTCTAGTATTAAATAGTTAATAGAGGATATATTATATAAACTTTATAGATATTATTATAAGACCCTATAGTCCTATATTATTTAGCCTTAGGATATCCTACTACACATGATATAATATGGCTATATAGTAGCCTAGTAATATAGGGTATTTTACTACTAATATATTAGGTAGCCTAGGGCTAGGTTCTAATATATTACTAAAGCTCTAGGGCCTAGAGAATATTAATAATACTATTAATAGCCCTCTTATTATACTAGTTACTAGGTAGTACCCTTATTTCTATACTCTACTTATATATACTATATTATTTAGCCTTATTACCCTCTCTACTATTAGTAAGTGGGTTTATTATTATTAGGATAATTAGATAGGAATTTATTCTTTTTTATAGCCTATTTCTATAGGGCTAACCTTACTAGTAGTCTAGGTTAATTAGGATACTTATAATAAAAGTCCTTAATAGCTTAGGGTATATTCTTTAATAAGCTAGTATTATACTAACTCTTATCTATATCATGACCTACCTATTAAATCTAATACTATAGCTTTTAATAGTGCTTCTAGATATTATATATACTCTTTACCTCCTACTCTTCTTTACTATTTACTTTAATTAGTCCTTACTTATCTATAATCTAATCCTCTAATAGCTTTATAGATTATACTCGCCTTAGCTTCTTAGGGGAAAAGACTAGGTATACCTTAAGATATTCTAGAAGATTAAGTTAGTATATATTCTCTACCTTCTTAACTATTTAGTAGGGTCTAGCTATCTAATTAGCTAGTTTCTAGCTTAGTACGTATATTACCTAATCTACTCTAGTTATTATAACCTAATTATCCTTTATAAACTCCTTATCTCTTTATTTTTAGTCTATATACTTCTTTATTTTCTCTTATACCTATTTAATCTATTACCTAGTAAAGTTCTATACCTTCTAAATATAGCTTACTATCTACTAAGCTTACTTATAATTAACTATTAAGTCTTTAGGCTATATAGCTTTATTCTAGTTAATTAATATTCTTAGTTTATATCCTCTTTCTATTAGAAAGGGTAATACTTTAGTTAATTTACTAGGTAATACTACTAATATAAAGTTTAAAATTAGAAGGTACTTATCCTAGTTATCCTAGAAATAGGAAATAAATAACTAAAGTTACTATATAACTTATTAATTTATAACCTCTACTTAGCTATTTATCTAAGGGTATTATCTAGATAATAACTTTATCTTTACTTAGAGAAGCTTATATAGCTTCTCCTAGAATTCTAATATAAACTACCCTCCTTAGTCTAAGACTATTAAATCTAGTAGCCCTACCTAGGGGTAGATATAAGTAATAAATAACATAGCTATTTATCTAGTAGTAGTGATTTTATAATAAGGTATAGTAAATATCCTCTTACTTAGTTAGTTAGTAAATACTAACATAGTATTAAAGCTACCTTTTAACTTAAGGAATGATCTAAAATCTATATATATATACTACTAGGGATATTTAGGGATTAGTAGTAATTATAAAAGACCTATTAGTAGTCTATAGGGCTCCTTTAACCTTATATATTTTAAATAGTTATTAATATATCTATCTATATTAGCTAACTAAGTAGGCTAATAATATTTTTATTATACTAGCTTTTAAGTCTTTCCTTGCCCTAGATAGGCTATAGATAGTTATTAATAAATCTTATTTATAAGTCATGTAATTATATCCCCTTTATTTATAATAACTAAGTAGTTATTAAATAGTAGTAATCCCCTATTATCTAAGAATAAGGTCTTATTACCCTATTATACTTTATCTTACTAGATTTCTAGTTTAGGACTATCATGGTTTACTTATAAGATTTAGTTAAGAATATATAGGCTTAGACTTATAGGTAAGATTTCCTATTAGAGTAATAGCTTAGAGGGAAGTACTCCTTCCTCTAGCTATTCTAGTTAAAGAAGGACTTAATTCTAGGAATCTAAATCTCTAGGTATAACTTCTAGTTAACTTAGTATATTAGCTAATATATTTTCCTTTCCTAGCTAGTATTTAATAAGGAAGTAGAACTAGGATATAAACTTAGATTATAATATCTACTAGTAATTTAGCTTTTATTTAGTTATAAAGTATTCTAATACTTAGTAATCTATCTAGATTTTAAAATACTCTAATTATTATAGCCCTACTAGCTCTATATATTATTTAGTTAAGGATTATACTATTACTAGTATCTCCTAGTTATAAATATTATAATTTTATTCTATATTATTTATACTTTTTAAAAAGTATATTATAGGGTACTAAAGGTCTATATACTTCTATTAGAGGATACTTATAATTACTCCCTTTAATATATCTATCTCTACCTATGTTAGTAACTCTAGCTAGTAATACTTAAGGATTAGTACTTTACTTAGTATAGTCTTTAAGGTATTAAAGGCTTCTTAATAGTTACTAGTCTAGAAAAATCTAATATCCTTCCTTATAAGGTAATATAGGGGTCTAGTAATCTAACTATAGTTCTTTATAAATTATTAATAGAAATTATAGAAACCTAGAAATAACTATACACCCTTTATTATATCTAGTACTTTTTACTAGGTAATTATAGCTACTTTCTCCTAGTTAACCTTAATACTCTAGGTTAAGATAATAAATCCTAAGAACTTTATCTAGGTTACCCTAAACTTATACTTATAGATTACTACTTATAATCTAGCTACTTATAGCTACTCTAGTATAGTTTATATATATAGCTTATACTCCTACTAGTTCTAACTATATATTAATAAGTTATCTATAAAGGCTATAATATATATAT